CCAAACGTTTCCCCAGCCACCACTCACGTATTCTCTGTGCCTCTCCCTCGCAGCAGCCAAGGCCTGTGGCTCTCTGTCCCTGAGCTCCTTGGGCCACAACCACCAGAACTCCACCCCCTGCTCGCTGTCTATCGCGCTGAACAGCGCTGCTTCCTCCAACCATGCTGCCGTGGTAAAGGGGAGACGGGGCGAGGGGAGACGGGGCGAGGGGAGACGGGGCGAGGGGAGACGGGGCGAGGGGAGACGGGGCGAGGGGAGAAGGGGCGAGGGGAGAAGGGGCGAGGGGAAGAAGAGGGGTCTTTGAATCTTCCCACTTGTCGCGAGGAGCTTTGCGCCTATGGCACAGGTGCTAGACGGAAAGTGAGAAGGAATGGTACGCAGGGAAGGGTGGGAGGGAGTGAAGGGGTGCGAGGTAAAGGGAGGGACGAACCAGGGAGGGAGATAATTGATGGACAGCTTGAGAGGGGCAACCAGAGAGGGACCAGAATGAATGGACCTCTGGAGAGAGACGAACCGGAGATGTTGGGGGATTGCCTGAAGGCGTCAAACTCCGCCTTGAGCTCTCCCGTGCTCCGCACCAATGCCGTGGCCGCCTGGCACAGCAGAGGATGGGGGGTTATGGAAATGGAGGGAGGGCCGTGGAGCCTCGCACTGCAAATGTGCGCAACACCCAGTTTTCGAAAGCACTCGGTACTTGCAGCAGCCAGTTGGTTGAAGTGCAAAGACTCGTGGTAGGAAGATTTGATGCAGCGTTTGTTTTTTTGAGAATTCTCAAAAAACAAACCCAGTGTTCGAAAGCACTCAGTACTTGCAGCAGTCAGTTGGTGTGCAAAGACTCGTGGTAGGAAGATTCCTGGGTCGTCGCTGTGAAGAAGAGTGATGACGCACCTTGGCAACCGCTGGGTCCTTGTCACTGATCACTTGCTTGTAGTCCACTCGCTGTACCGGGCTGTCGGGGAGGGATAAGGAGTGGGAACGAGGGGAGGGGGAGAAGGGGAGAGGGGATGGAGGGGAATAAAACGAGGTGGAATCCGGTAGGGAGGCATGGACTTCACTGTAATTTTTCCGGATTGAGATCGTAAGCATACCGCGTGGGGGGCAGGTCGGATTGGTCGAGGAGACCATCTTGCACGAGCAGATCGAGGGAGAGCAGCAATGTGTTGCCGCAGTTGGCGTCCTGGCAGCGTAGGGAGTGGGGAATGGGAGGAGTGAGGAAAAGCAGGTATTGGCGAGGGTCTAAGCAAGGGAACAATAAGGCAACACTGGAATTCGTCTGCCATTCCTTTGCAAGTACAGCGTTTGCCTTACCTGGCCAGTATAGGGACTGCCGTACCTGGCCAGTTTAGGGACTGCCGTACCTGGCCAGCATAGGGACTGCCGTACCTGGCCAGCATAGGGACTGCCGTCTTCGCCTGACTTCCGTCCGGGTGGCACCAGGGGCAGCACCTGAAATATCATTGGAAAAAAGCATAGGGATGGTCTGAAAATGCACAGGAACTAAGTGATTGCATTGAATTGTATACATTGCCCCAGGAATGCGAAGAAGAATTAGCAACGAGCCAGAATTTGCAAGCTCTGAGAGGTCCTGGGACTTTCACGCACATTCACGCACTCACCCACGCACTTGCTCCCCCATCCACCCACTCACCCACCCACGCACCTGCCAGATTGTGCATCCCGTCGATTCGAGCCAGTTGAGGAACCTGAACGCGCGGAGATCCAGGTCACCCGTGCCATGCACGGCTTTTTGGTTTGACTGAAGAAAACCCCACGCACCTGCCAGATTGTGCATCCCGTTGATTCGAGCCAGTCCAGGAACCTGAACGCGCCGGGACCCAAGTCGCCGATGCCATGCGGACCGGGCAGCGACGTGGGATGCACCAGCACGCCGCATCGCCTCGCCGGGATCAGCGAATACGGATCCATCTTTTCGTAACCCTCTGGTAACGGCTCGCCAGGAAGAATTTCGCTGCTCTTCGCAGCACCGGGGGTCGCTGCTGGTTCTGTCGCCATCGCTCGGAAAGACTGGCGATCCCCGAGGCAAGATCGAGATGGCGAGCGGGAAATGGGGAGAAGGGCGCGGAGAGGTGCGAAGGTCGCTGGCGAGGCGATGCTAGAAGACGCCGATCGGAGGCGGGAATTCGACGAATCAGCGGCTGAAGACGCGACGGATGCGACGTGCGAGGCGGGAAGTCGCAAGGCGGAAACCATGGCTGTGCGATCGCTGACTCTCGCAGACGCAAGTACGAGATTCGATCAGCCTTCGCCTCTAAGACCAAGATGAAGGAGAGCTGGGACGTCGACAATATCAAGGGTGATGCAAGAATGGTTCTCAAGATTCGGAAGAACGGACGTGTCCCCATCCCAGCCCAACCTGGAAATATTTCTGACAGGGCTGGTGGGAACTGTCGATCCCAAGGTGGTCAGTCAAGTCCAACCAGGATCGAGGTGGATCCGCCTTGTGATTGGTTCAACATGACGGCGTCTTCTCATCTGCGATATACGCAGTTGTGAGTGTGCTATGCCAAGCTGAACGATAATGGAGGACATCCATACAAGGCACCATAACAAAAGGTCCTTAGGGGATCTGATATGGATTCAGATATATTGACTCACAAATATGAACATTATAAACCCCTCTAATTTAAACATCAGTAACGAGGCCTGTCATTTCCTTCTCCCCATCCATTCCAATCCCACTCACTTATCCTCCCCTTCACATTCATGCCACCATTACTGCCACCATTCTCCTTACCCAACCAACTCCCAGTTATTTTCTCATTACCACTCCAACCCTCCTCCGACTTCATTTCCCCCTGCCCAGTATCACCTCTTCGCACCCTCCCTTCCCACCCTTGCTGCTCCACCCTCCCATACCGATCCTCGCCTCCCACCACAGCCCCACCAGCCCGCTGCCTGGTATCGCCCTCCTGCAACCTCCTCTCATCCAACCATTCCCCATCGCCTGAAAATTGCCAGCTCCCACTCCTCCTGTAACCCCTGTCCTCTGGTTCAGCTCCCCTTTGCCTTTCCCATTCCTGCCATTGCTGCTGCTGTTGCTGCAGTGCCCACTGCTCTCTGTCTCTCCAATTCTCCTCCGTGCTACGGAAACCCCTACCCTCACCACCCCCTTCCCTGCTCTCCTTCCCCACTCTCTCGGGACTCCCAGGGTCAATCTCCCCACGGATCACGTCCAGCTGGTACCGAACCCACTCCCATGCCTCCGATGCAATCCCCGAACCAAGCGTCGGGCCACTCCCAATCCCCAAACCTGGGCCCAGAGTGTCATCCCAAACCTGTGGTTCCTTCCTCCTTAGAGAATTACTGCTCTGGAACTGAGACCACTGCCCCTGCTGCCCCTGCTGCTGTTCCTGAGTCTGCTGCCGTCTCTCTTTCCGACCCTGCAACTCCTTCTCGTTCACGATCGGCCGAACCGAGAGCTCCAGGAGCGCCGAGCCTAGCTCCAGGAACGGCGGGCCGAGCGTGCTTCGGAGGGTGGGTGTGAGAACCACAAGCGCCGAGAGGGAGAGGAAGAGAAATGGGCGATCGAAGAGCAGCGGCAGGAGAACCAGCACGAGTGGCACCCCCCACGGGATAGAAGTAAGCAGCTGGAGGAAGAGCATGGGGAGGCCAGAACAAAGGAAGGAATTAGTAAGTAGTTGAATGAGAGGGTGGGCAAGGGGGAGAGGAAGAGCAAGGGACGGTCGAAGAGCAGCGACAGGAGAACCAGCACGAGAGGCACCCTCCAGGGGATGGACGCAATCAGGTGGAGGAGGAGAACAGGAGAGAAGAGCGGAGGAGAAGATTAGTGGGGAACGGTGAGAGGGTGTGCGAGGGGGGGGAGGAAGAGCAAAAGGCGGACGATGAGCAGCGGCGGGAGGACGAGCACGAGAGGCACAGAACTGCCATGGCTTGCCTCTTTCAATGGTTCAAGAAGATCGTTGCCGTTCTCCACTCCTCCTCCCACTCCTCTTCCCCCTCCCATTTCTCTATCCGCTGCTCTTCCAAACGGCCTGTCACTGCGCCCATCAAGCCTGCTACTCCACTCCTCTGCACCGCCCTCCAAGCCTCTATCTTCCATCTGCATTCGCCCGCGGCTCCCTGGATCGCCTGTCTCGCCACTGGCACGGCCGTACGAGTTATACTCACGCCCATTATAGTCATAATCATAACCATAAGCTTGCTCGCCATAGTCACGTCGGGCAGGATACACCGGCGGAAATCGGCGCTGTTGCCATTCCGCGGCGGCGCTTTCCCCAGCATCTCCGCAACCCGCGTTCCGCCCCATCCCCCGCTCCGCAACTCCGCCGCGTGCGCTCACCACTGCGCCATCCCCCCGTTCCGACAACCCTCTTTCCCTTTCGCTCTCCATACCTTGGGATTTCCGCGGCGCAGGCGCACCACCGCGAGATGCTTCATCGCCATTCAGATCGGACGGTCGTCGCCTCCAGCCCTCCGCGTTTGAGTCCCAGAATTCCCTTCTTCCGCCGCCATTGCCAGTGCTACTGCCGCGGCTACCGCCGCCGCTGACGCCGCTGGCCCTGGCTGCTTTGAAGGAGCATACGACGGGGAGGAATGAAGGATGGCGAAGGCAGGGTAATGACGCAGAAGCATAGTAACCCATTGGAACCCACGGTAATGAGCCCACATGAAGTAGAAGGAACTAAGCCAGACTTAAGCATAGAAATTATTGTGTTTTTTAAGAAACACGTCGGTGTAGTTTAGTGGTTAGAATCCCACGTTGTGGCCGTGGAGACCTGGGCTCGAATCCCAGCACCGACACTGCTGCCTTTTGTCATGTGGTCATATGGTGTTGTGAGATGGGTTCAGTGTTGACATTGGTATTGCTGTGGAAAATGGTTTTGCTTGTGCTGAAAATGTTTTTGCATGTGTTGAGATTAATGTTGCATGTGCGGGACTTGATTCGGCACGTGTGACAAATCAAGGTGCATTTGCGGAAGGCCTTGACAGCAGCAGATACCACAGAAGCTACAGCACCAGGAAGGGGGCGTCATGCTTAGAGCCTACAGCAGCAGCATGGAGCAGTGATCGCAGAGGAAGCTGGCAGGAGGCTCAGAGAAACCCGCACAGCGCGTGTGCTGCCACACCTCACACCTGGTGGTGTGATGGGAGAGAGACGAGGAGAGGGGAGGGGACAATGGGAGCGAGGAGTGGGGAGGGGAGGGAGTGGGAGAGAACTGAGGAAACAGGCAGTAAGATAGGGGGGTGGACGACAGAACGGAGACGAAGGGAAGCATTTCTGCAAGGGACAACGTCTTCCAAGACGTGGACAATCAATCCAGAGGGAAGAGAAGCCCAGAGAAGCCCATGCGACCCAATGACAAATCACCATCCAGGACCTTTTCCACTGACAGGCCCCGCTGACTTACTCATCACATATCATCATCACCTGCCCCACTGACCTATCACACACTGCCGCCTGTCACACAGACCTATCATACGCCACCACCTGTCACACGGAGATATCCACATGCCGCCACCTGTCCCACTGACCTATCACATGCCACCATCTGTCCCACTGACCTATCACACGCCACCATCTGTTCGCCGTCGTCATCCCTCGTGCCACAGCTGCACTCCACCACCCACCCCTCCGAACCTCCCTCCCAGCACAGGTCCGAGCCTGCATCCATGCCTGAGCCCCGGACCAGCAGTACGCAGCGGGGGTTGAAGTTTGGCCGAACCAAGGCCGTGGACTGCAGATGAGCGAGGAGAGGGAGCTGAGATACACTGAATCTGGACATGGCACAGTAGGTATCCCTGTGGGGAAAGAAGAGGGGAAAGAAGGGGGGGAATGGACTAAGTTGGATATTACGCTTACGTTTACGTACGTTTTACGTTACGTACAAGGTTCCAGAATGAGTTTACGTTTCCGGGCAGATTAGTTTTTTTCCAGCTGCCCGGGCCGTAAAAATTTCCCTGGGATTCAAAGGTGGCATTAACATTATCTATGATAATGTTATGGTTCAAGCTACGAAACTACAATCTCCAGCCAGAAATTTTGTTGCCGACCTTTGTTTGTATCGGCGCGTCACTTAGTGACGCGTTACTTTTGCTAGGTGCACAGAATCGCTTCGGGCTTTCCCTCCAATTTCAAAATCGCGAGTCAACGTCCCCCCCCCCCAGTGTCATCACTTCGACCTCCCCACCTGTCTTTATGTTCCAGCCCCGTGACTTACGCGGGGCTCTGAAGGTTACGCTCGATGCTAGAGCTATAGATCCACGACCTAATCCTCTCACATCTTTCTACATAGATCTTCGTTCTAGATCCTCTAACCTAGATCGTAGAGTTCCTAAGTACGACCTAAGTTAAGATCTAAAAGATGGTGCTGCGAGTTTAAATAGCGAGGTAGATAGTCACTAAATATAGCATAACGGTTATGAAAGAACCGTCAATCCTAAACATAGCATTTCGTACGGAGCTGTATGTGCTGCCCTGAGCGGTTGTGCCGCAATGATGCTCTCTTCTCCAGGGCCAATTCACAGAAAGTTTTTTTGCCGGATTTTTTTTCCTGCCCGGACCTAAGTTACGCATATTTACGCGTACGTAAACGTAAACGTAATGTTACGCGTAACATTACGTTTACGTAGGTCCAGGGACGTACGGACCCATCTTAGGGAATGGAAAGGGGTGAGGGAAGGGGCATGTTTGGAAGGCTTATGCAGCAGTGCTCAGGATTGAATCGGTGGAAACTCAATTCAATTTGTGAAACCCCCAACCTTGCCACAAATTTTACTGCCATACCACAAACTACCTCATTCCCCTTACTGCGTCACCTCAATACCTATCGTCGCTTTACCTCATACCCCTTCCTTTCTCCATACCCCTTATTGCCTCACCTCATGCTCCTCTCAATCGCCTCGCCGAGTTGTGCCACGGTAGCATCGATGGGAACCACCACATAGTCTACTGGTATTGGCCCCAGTCGCCTCTGTCTCGACACAGGCTCCACCCCTCTCGCTGCCCCTGCTGCTCGTGCTCCTGCTGTTGCTACGTTTGATCCTGCTGCAGCAATTCCCACTGCATTTGCTCCTGTTGCTGCTGCTGCTGCTGCTGATGCGGGTACTGTTGTTGTCAATGCTGCTGCTAGCAGAACACCAGCCTTCGCTCGTGCTCCAGGCTCTGCCAATAATCCAGTGTTCGACCTTCCACCTGCATCCCCTTCAACTTTCAATGCAGCAGCTACTTTCTCCCCTTCATCTCTTTCCTTCCCCTTCCCCCTTACCTCCTCCTCCCTCTCCTCCTCGTCACTCTCCTTCACCACCACTTGAAATGCCACACACATCAATCCATCTGATTCTCTCACTCCCACGCCCCGCCCCTCTCCCCCCCAGTACCCCTTCACCAGGTGCTTTGTGTCCAAAACCACGCGCACCAGCGCCAGCAGCCCCTCCGCACCAGCACCACCTGCACCACCCCCACCAATAACCCTGCTGCCAGCATACAAAGGGTGGCACGGGCTAGCACGAGGGAGAAAGGGTCTGACAGCACGGGAGGGGTGGACGCGTCTAGCAGCGCCTTCAAGGAGGTTGCGGTAGAGGTAGCGCAGATGCGGCTCCACTGGGCTGCTCGTTGCTGCCAGCATCACCACCGCCCCACCTTGCTGCTGCTGCTTCTGTTGCTGCTCGCTTGCCTTTCCTTCCCCAGCCACAGGAGCAGCAACTGCCGCTCTTACATGACTGGTAGTGGAAGGGGGCTTGAAGCCCTGCATTTTGCTAAAAGTTGCCGCTTTATTAAGTGCCAGCGCTCTAGGACCCGTGCTCTTGTTGTGATTGTAATCCCTGCGTTGCTTGCATTCGCCTCTCTCGCCTCCCTCCCCTGCCTCCCCTCCTTCCCGACTACCCGCTTCCCTGTGTGGGTCTGCCCCTGTCCCGCCCTGTGCCCCGAACCCTGCGAGCTGAGGGCCCCAGATAGTCGGGAGAGGAGCAGAGAGCTTAGGAAACATCTCAAGAGGTGTCAGCACCGGCGCAACATGCCCCTGAGATGTCGCAAGCGGAGGTGAGATAGACGCACCATGAGCTTGAGGCGCTTCTGAAAACTGTGGAGGGTCTCGGGCTTGGGCCTGGGCTTTGGCTCTTCCACAGCAGAGGCTGGGCTGGCAGGCTGCGGGGTTGGGAAGAACAGGAGGAGGTGAAGGAGGGCCAGCGGGGCAGGCTGATGCAGCTGCCTGTGTACTTCCCCCCGCAACCAAAGGAGTAGAGAGTTTAGGACAATGACCTGGCTGCTGTGTTGCTTCACCTGCACCTTCACCTTCTTGCCTCCCGCACTGCAACAAACTAACGGTATCATCAACAGGAGTATCCTCTTCGACAGTAGCGTTCTCCGAAGTATTCCCATTTACAGTATCCCCTTTAACACAATCAAAACCTGTCCTCGCCACTCTAATCATTCCTCCACCCTCCCCACGCTTCACTCTTTTGCACTCCTGCTCCTCCCATCCCTCGCCTCCTCTTCTCCCCTCCCCAATCTCCACCCCATCCCTGTGTCTCCTCAGCCTCTCGTCCCTCCCTCCCTTCCGCTCCCTCCCTTCCAAATGCTCCCTCCCCTCCTTCGTCCCCCGTTCTCCCATTCCCTCCTCCCTTTCCCAGCCCTCTTGCACCTCATAATGCACTGCCTCACTCTTCACCTTCTCTCTCTGCTGCCCTGCCGCCTCCGTTCTCAATCCTACCCCGCCTCTCTCTGCAAGCACTGCAATCTCATCCACAGTCAGACCCGGAACTCCATTCCGTGGCCCACTGCCACTCCGTTTCCCACTCCCACTCTGCTTCTCACTCATACCCTCCAACCCAGTACAGCTCTTCTTGACTTCGAGGATCTCCTTCTGCCCACGATCTTGTGCGTGAGGCTTGCGATCAGCCCCCATACGGATGACGCCTTCCCCAACAGAAGCACCATCCGCACCAGCAGCACCAGCAGCACCAGCAGCACCAGCAGCAGCAGCACCAGCAGCACCAGCAGCAGCAGCAGCAGTGGCAGCCACAGGTCGAGTAACAAACCCACCAACCTGACCAACGTCCTCCACTCTTTGATCTCCACATCCAGCCCATGGCTTTCTCTCCTCTCTCTCCTTCCCCTTAACACTCTCCTCTTCTCCGCCTCCCCCTCCTGCCTGTCGCAGTGTTGCCTGCTCCGACTTACTCTTCTTCAGATAATTCTGCTGCTGCTGCTCCTGCTGCTGCTCCTCCTGCTCTCGTCTCTTCTTCGAAACAACAGGCAGTTGAAGGCTCTCCTTTACAAATGAGCCCCTGCCACCCTCACAACCTGCTCTGTTCTTTGAAGAAAGCAGGGCGTGTGAGTTCCTCCTTTCACTCACTGCACTGCCACCATTTTCCCTCCTCTTAAAAAGTCCGTTCGCCCTCCTCTCACTCAGTGCGGCCTCTTTTCTCTTCGCACCACAACTCGCCTTCCCTTCGGCCCCCCAACCATCCTCTCTGCCATTCACCCCGCCACTCTTCACATGTGCCGAAACCGCTGGCCGTTTCAGCTGCTTCTGTACACTACTCATTTTCTCAAAATCCTTTCTCTCATGATCTATCCTGTCGCCAAGGCCAGCTGCTCCTCTATTTTCAGTCTGCTTGTCACCCAAATCAGCAGCGAGTCGCTTCCCGTTCCGTCCGCCTGCGACAGAGTTTCCAGTTATCTGAAAACTCTTCCCATTCAGTCTCTTCTTATTCACACACGCCCTGCCAGCAGGTGGCACCTTTGAGTGGTCCCCCAAGCTACATTCGCTGCTTTGAAACAACTCCCTCTCATCCACATTCCTAACCCCTTTTCCTCCATCTGCACCCTTATTCCCACCATCTGCACCACTCTTCCCTCCATCTTCACCGCCCTTCCCTCCATCCGTATCCCCCCGCAGAGCCCATCGCCTCCCTTTCCGTCCGCTGCCCTCATCCATCCCCCCCTTATCCACCATCACCTCCTCCTCCCAGCCCCATTCCTCCTCATCCTCCTTCTTTTCCCTTATTCCCCCTTCCCCACCCTCCTCCTCCTCCATCTTCTCCCTTCCCTCCTCCTTCACCTCATTTCCCTCTTCATTTCCCACCGTCACTCCCCACTCCTCCCCCTCCTCCTCATCCTTCTCGCCCAAACCCCCCGCCCTCAACTCACACGTCCTCACCACTGCACCATCCGTGCCTCTTCTCTCCCACTGCTCCCCTGGGCGCTTCTCTGCTTCCCCCGCTTTCCTCGCTTCCCCTGTTTCCCCCGCTTCCAAAGCTTCCCCTGATTCCCCCGGCTCCGTCACATGAACCGTGCGCTCCTCTTTACCCTCCTCTCTCACCTCCTCCACTTCCTCCTCTTCTACTTCCACCCCATCCCCCTCCTCCTCTTCCTCCCCACCCTCCCTCTTCTCCTCCCTCTTCTCCTCCCTCGCCTTCCCCACCCCCTTCCCCTCCCCTTCCACTTCCACCTCCGCCCTCCCTTCCCCCTCCAGCAATCCGCACCCATACTCCCCGCCACACCGCATCACCTCACCCCTGAGCTCGTCCTCCCATGCATCCAGCCCCCACCACCCCGCACCATCACCGCCTGCATGCTCTGCATACCACCCCAGCTCCTCACACTCCCCAGGCCCATCATACTCCCCATCCCCACCAAAGCTCCCATGCCCATACAAGCCTCTGTACTCATCCGCCCCACATTCCTTTCCAAACCCATCCTCACACTCTTTCCCCCCCCAGTATCTCCCCTCACAGGTCTCCAGGTCACAACCCCCCTCACAATCCCCCTTACAGTCTTTATCCTTCTCATTACAGCCCTCCTCCTTACAATCACGCACATCCATACGCTTCTGACTCCCCCCTCTTCGACCCACAGCAGCCGTAGCTGCATCCTCCTTGCCTACCGGCCTGTCCGCATCTCCTGATTCATCTGGACTCTGCCCACTATCAGCATTCCCTGAGGCACCTAATCGGTGCGCAGCACCTGGCCGGTACGCATCCCCTGGGGCATCTGCCAGCAGTGCCTTGAGCTCGCCGTTCCTCCCTCGCCCTCTCCCCCCGCGCACCCCTCTTCCTCTGCCTCCCCTCCCTGCCCCTGCTCCTCCTCTTCCCGGCCCCACTGCCCCTGCAGCTGTTGCCGCTGCAGCAGCTGCTGCTGCTACTACTTTTTTTGCTACTCCTACTGCTCCTCCTCCTGCTTCTCTTGCTGCTGCCTTTCGCATCAACATTTTTCCACCCTCTGCTGCACCACTACCAGCTTCACCTCGTCCCCTGCCCCTGCCCCTCCCTCCCCCTACCCTTCCCACCCCTCTCCCTCTCCCCCTCCCCAACCCTATCCCCTTACCACCAAAACTGCCTCTGCCCCGTCCCACCCTCCCTCCCCTCCCCCCTCTCCTCCCTGTCGCCCCTCTCCACTCCCCTTTCTCCCAGTCCACGTCATCACTGGCCTCATCCACGTCATCACTCTCCTCTGATGAGCTGGACGACTCCTCATCGCTCTTGAAAACGTTGACCTGCAATCTGCCCCTCGGTCTCCCCCCGCCCTTCACATCTCCTCCCACTGCTCCTCCCCCTACAGCCACACCTGCCCCTCCCCGTGCTTCCATTCCCCTCGTCTCCTCTTTCCCCAAAACTCCCCTTCCTTCTCCTCGAGTTCCGAACCCTCTTTCTTCCCCCTCTGCTCTCTCATATGAACCTCCCTCTTCGCCTCCCTCTGCTCTAAGCCGTTCAGAAGGAATCATGCTAGAAGCAGACGCCCTAACGAGGCCTTTCCCTTGTCTACTTCTGGGGGAGGTGACAACACTACCTGCCATAACTTTGCCATTGTTGCCACCTGGTACTCCAGGTATATTATCAGGTGCCTCTACAGCATTATTGAGCCTCCCTCTGCTGTCAGGTTGATCTGCTGCTGCAAGCCCCTTGCCCAGGCTATCTCTAAGCGTCACATTAGGGGCGACTTTATCAAGAGAAACGTCACTTTCAGTGCCTGCACATACCCCGCTGCTTTTTTCCCGCAACTCTCTATCAGGCTTCACCCAGACCTTGAAGCTAGGCTCGGCGGTCAGCGTGGGTGCCATAGCTGTGCCGAACCTGGTCCGAGGGGAAAGAGGGAACGGATCTCGCGCTTGACCATGTCCCTTGGAGCGCATTCGGGGCGTGAGAACGGGTGGGCTTCTTAGGCCCGGGGAATGGGATGGTGAACGACCAAGAGGCTGAGGCGAAGAGAGGGGCATCTGTGCTGTGACCGGGCTGGACACACGGTGGAACGTCAGTGGAGAGAGAGTAAGTTGAGGGGAAGTTAGTGGGGAGGAATTCAGTGGGGGGTGAGGCAGAGGTTGGGAGTATGTCAATGGGGGAAGGGTCACTCTCGTTGTTACGTCAGGAGTTGCAAGGTGAGAGGCAGAATGTACACTGATAGGAGTGGCATCGGCAGAATGCTTTACTTTTCTGCTGCCAATGCTACTGCTTTTAGTAGCGGTAGCTGTAGCAGGGGGAGCTGCAGTGCCAGTAGCAGTTGCAGTTGCAGTAGCAGTGGCAGCAGCGGAGTCAGCAGCGGCGGCAGCAGGACGTGATGAAAATAATTCGAGCATCAGTCTCAGGAGTTGGCCCAGCGTTTTCAAACGCTCGGTTTGGCTCGGGTCAGAAAGAACAGAATTCGGGGGGACTGTAGCATTGGCGGCTGTAGCATGGGGAACTGTAGCAGGGCGGGCTGTAGCCGGGGGTGATGTTGCATGGGATGGCCGAAAGCTGTGGATTCTTGATGGAGTCGCTCCTCCAATGATGCCAGAATTTACTGCTTGTGAGGATGATGCCGTATGTGCGTCTACATGCAGTCTGGCTGCTGATGCAGCAGCTACTGTTGCTGGTAATGCTGCCTTCGGTGCTGCTGCTGCTGCTGCTCGTGAGATCTGTGCTGACTTAGCATGCGGTAATGCTGCATGTGCTGGTGGAGCGGCACATGTTACTGATGGTGTGTCGTGTGTACGCAGTGCGGGAGCGGGCAGCGAGCAGGTGTTCTCGCTGACCCACGACCGGTAATGCTCAATAATGGCAACCAAGTCCTGAAAAGAAAACAGAGAATGGGGAAAGGCACCAGACAAACTGAGTTCACGCCCCCCACTTTCCCCAGGACAAAGAAACCTCTAGGCCACCACAAACCACTCTAGAGCAGAGACCACTACGCAGAATGGGTCCATTACTACTGACTGCGTTATACTCACAGGGTCCAGCCCCCTGTAGTGCTCTTCGATCGCGGCAAGCGGGGTCGCGGCCGCGGCTGCGAGTGCGTGCTTGTACACGTCTTCAGTCACGCCGTAACACCCCTTGCCAAAGCGGTAACCCCACCGGCCGTACCACGAGTGGCCGTACGCCAGCCCATGCAGGAGACGCAGGTCCAGACCCAGCTTCTTGGACATGTCCATGCACGTCACCTCTCTGTGGGCCGGACGAAAACGGATTGGGCGGACAAATTACTTGTGATGTGAACAGCCACAGCCTCAAGACACGCAGGTCTAGACCCAGCTGCTTGGACATATCCATGCACGTCACCTTCCTGAGGGGCGTGGAAAACGATTGGAATGCTTGATATGTCAATCGCCTCAGCCTCACGTCATGCAGATTCTCTAACATGTCTATCACCGACAGTCCATGCATGCCACCTCACTGTGTGGGAGAGAGCACATAACAAAACACCATCCCTGCTGCTCACCTGGCGTTGAGCATGGTGCAAATGCGGTCCCACAGGCCCATCAGCTGCCGCCCAGTGACAAGGCGTGAGCCGCGTTCTCGGCCGTTGATTCGTAGGAGGTGGCCGAATCCGTTGGTGTGGATCACCCCGTGCAGCAGATGCGTCTGAGACTCCAGCAGGGTCCCCCGCACTGCATCGTGCCCACATGCAGTGCACCTGGACAGGGGCCAATGGAACACGCACTAGCAGAGACAATGAAACAGGGAATGGAGTCACTAATACTACTACTAACCGTTTGGCATCGAATGCGGCACTGACCGTTCGGCATTGGAAGTTAGAAACAACCCACCGCTTGGCATTAGAAGCAATGACAGCGCTGCAGTTGGGGCAGAGCTTGCGGCCCTTGCCGATGCCCTGGCTGTTGTTCTCGTCCACGTCAGCCACGAGCGGTATGATGAAATGGTAGCGGTGCACTGACACCGGGTGATGACTCCAACCTGCACACCCGCGCATGAAAACGCGGCGTACACCCGCACACACAGAAACGTGAGTTGAGTCGACTCAAAACTCGTGCACTGACACGAAGCTGTGACTCCACCCAGCGCACCCGGAAATGAAAACGTGACGGACACGCACACACAGAAACACACAGAAACAGGCACGTATGCACGCACGCACACGCGCTCTTTCTCGCTATCACGACTCTGCACAACCGTAGAGCACATTCGTTGTGCCTTCGCCATGCAACTTATCGCGTTGTTTCCTGAGTCATACCACATGCTTATCACGGTACCTCCGGTCCTAGGGTAGAAAGTCGCACATACTTCGCTCCAATGGAATGACGTCCCTAACTTCTAACTACTAGGCGTAACGATTCAGGCGAAAATGGTCCAGTCTAGGCGCACCTGCCACGCGGCAGTTGTCGCAGTGTGCGCGGCCCGAGGCTTGCACGTTCTCTTCGAGTACACGTAAGCCGATGCGGTGGCCCTTGTCGTCTTGCAGGCGAATCGTCCACGAAGCGACACCCTCGATGTTACACGAATCAGGCTCCGCGAAATCGCGTATTAACTTTTGGACAAGTTGACGAAAGGGAAATGGACCGCGAGGAAAGTCCGCGGGACACTCATTGGTGCCGAAAAGCGCGAACGAGAAGGCCCCGTGGACCTTTCGTCGCTTGCTTGCTCTGTGGAGTACCATCGTAAGCGGAACTGATACGTATCGAAACACGACTTGTGGTTGTTGCAGAAGTTATAGCTGCATGCACGCCATCATCGTGCTCTAACCTAATGCTTCAAGCGACAGACTGCAAGAGACGCCAACCAAAACTAGCGGGGAGCACGCGATTAGGGTTTCAGACGAGGAGAGGAAATGCAGAAATGCGAATCGGAGGCTGCGTCTTTGGCTTGTGGTTGGCTCATCCACTCGGCTCGAGTCGTCAATTTCAAGGGTGGCTGGCATCCTCAGCGTGGGTGGGTAGTAGGTTACCACTGCGGACTACTGTGCTGATGGGTGAGGGAAGGAAACCGAGAGCACGCACCTATCAGCTGTTTTGCCGCCTTCGAGATTCCAACAAGCACCTCATTTGAAGGATTGAGTAGCAACTCTCTGGAAACTGAATGAAGCCAGCTGTGTTTGTGAGTCAGGCTACACTAAAATGCTTGTTTTATATGTACGCTGATGAGGAATTTGGGATATGCAATGGAAGTCTTGCTAGCATGAATCGGAGTCATAAATATACGTACAGACCATCAGATTATCTATGCGACGCAGTTTATCCAGCCATAAATTATTCCTGAGGATTTTCCAAATGAAGCTGGGTTTCATCTTTACTGTTAATTACCTCATATGTAGGCTGCAAACACAAATGACGCATTTATCGGCTAGAAGAAATATAAATGGTTTTGGAGAACAGTTGCATTGCATTTTGAAGTGTACATTTCTAGTGCTCCAAATCATTTCTATCCCATCACTCTTCAGCCGCCATCTAGGGAAGCCAGCCACTCCAAATTGTTCGTCCTCCATTCACTCCCTTTCGATCTTCCCACCAACATCCTAGCCTCCCCCGCCTCTAGGGTTTCGCTGCTTTTTCCTCCGACGGCTGCTAGTAGTTTAGGCACGCAGCCTCATCCATTAGGAAATAGTATCGGCGGGCGGCGGTATCTTGCCACGATTCAGACGACGACTGTTATCTGCCTATTAACGCTGTTTATTCGTGGCTCTGAGCATTATAACACGTTAGTCTGCTGTTTCTACGGACTACAGCACTGTGCCGTCTCATGCACCAGCGATTGCATTCGCGGGGTTGCTAGCTGCGGCCCGAGTGGCTGCTTCTCGCTCCCCGTTATAACCGGCCGCGCTATAATCTAAAAGGCTTCCGCGTCGAGATTTTGCTTCTACATCTTTTTTCTGATCTTAGCTTTTTAGACTCTTAACTCTTAAAATGTTTCGGGGAGATCGGGGTATGGCGCAGCCCGACTCGAGCAGAGGCGGGGGATCGAAGGATGCGAGGGGGTACCGGGAAAGAGACGTGGCGGGTGGGGCGGTGGGGGGCGGAGCGGGAATGGATGCGCACACGGGGAAGAAGCGCGGGGATGAGATGGCGATGGCGCAAGGTCAGGGCAGCAAAGGGGGCATCAATCCGCGCGATAAGGAGAGGCTTTCTGGGGTGCCTTCGTCCTCGCAACAAGCCGCTGTCGGCCAGGGAAAGGGTATGATGTGCTCGGGTTGCTGTTAACATGGAAATAGTATGTGCGCGAGTTATTGTTTCTTTTGAATCGGAGCGGCTACAGTACGATTATGTTGATCGTCGTTGCCATTTTATTGTGGCTGATGCGGCTCGGAAGCACCAGTACATAGTACTACATCCGCGAGAATGCCCACTTGTATGCTCGGTATAGTTATTCCTGAACGAATCTCAGCATTGTGCATTGTTAGTTATTCCGTCCCGTCGTCATCCCATCTGGTCCCATTCGATCTATGCGCTTCCTTTGCGTTTTGGTTCTCGTCTGTCTCTACTTAACCGGGCTTATCGATAGCGGGCATTCTGATCCAGGTCAGATCACAAAACACAAAACACAAATGGTTGATCGATCGACCCACAGAACATAAATGGCTGATCTGAAGAACTTGGGGAAATGGAAAACACACATTCCGTTCGTGTTCCGCCGTTCGTTGCGCCTGAAGTCCAGCTTGCTGGTCCCCCCCCCCCCCCCCCCCCCCCCCCCCCCCCCCCCCCCCCTCCCCGACCTCTCGCCGTTTTTTTCGCAGCACCCCCACCCTCCCCTTTCATTTCCTTCCCCTTCCCATCCCTTCTCCACACATCCAATCCAACCCATTCCAACTCCCCCCTCTTCCCCCTCCGTCCCTCCTCCTCCACAACCCCTTCAAAGATTCAGAGAGCGAGGAGTCGGACGTGAGAGACTCGGAGGACGACACGTCGTGGATCACGTGGTTCTGCTCGCTGAAGGGCAACGAGTGTTTGACCATTTCCCCCCTGTTGCCTTCCCTTCCCTTGTCCACACATCCAATCACCCCCCACCCCTTTTCTTCCCCCGACCCCCTTCAAAGATTCAGAGAGCGAGGAGTCGGACGTGAGCGACTCGGAGGACGACACGTCGTGGATCACGTGGTTCTGCTCGCTCAAGGGCAACGAGTTCTTCTGCGAGGTGGACGATGAGTACATTCAGGACGACTTTAATCTCTCAGGGCTCAGCAGCCAGGTGCCCTACTACGACTACGCGCTCGACCTCATCCTCGACGTCGAGTCGCCCACAGGTGCTGAGGGGTGGGGGGGTTGGGAAAGGGGTGAGAGGGCGGGAGGGCGGGGGTGAAGGGACGCCCGCGCCTGGGGACGGCAGGGGCTGAAGGGGCGCGGGTGTGGGCCAGCGAGGGGACGGAGGGGTGCATGGGTGGGCGAGGGAGAGGGAGAGAGGGGGGGCGAAGGGCAGGGAGTGGGGGAGGGGAATGTGAGCAGCCAGGTCCCCTGCTACGACTACGCGCTCGACCTCATCCTCGACGTCGAGTCGCCCACAGGTGCGGCTCGAGGGGGAGGAGGAGGGAGGATGCGCGAGGGGGGTGGGGAAGGGTGTGAGGGGTCCCGGGGGTGGAGGGCGGGGGTGAAAGGAAGGATGCTCCGCCCGGGATTGGAAGAAGGTGAGGGAATGCGTGCAGGTGGGTGGGATTGATGGAAGGGGTGAAGGGGCGTGCGTGCACGTATGAACGAGCGAGGGGGTGGAGGGAGGGGCACCATGCAGTGCACGTGCCTGGGTGGGAGAGGAGGTGGAGGTGCCCCTTCAACCCCTCCTCTCGACACGAGGAGGTTGCGCAGAGGAACTCGTTGCCAACGAGTTTGTCTGCTAGGTGCACGACAATTACACCCAGGTGCTCGGCTTACTCCCCGTGTAGTGAGGGTGTTTTTGAGACGTCTCAAAAACACCCTCACTGCACCTTACCAGCGAGTTCGTCTGCCAGGTGCATGACAATTACACCCAGGTGCTCGACTTACTCCCCGTGTAGAGTCACCTGCAGCAGTTGGGCAGTGGTGGAGAGGGTTGCAGAAGGGTGCGATGGGAAGTGGCTCGCAGCAGCTGAGTGCCATGGTGGTATGACTGCACGCCAGCCTGCCCGCCAGCCTGCCCGCCAGCCTGCACGCCAGACCTGGTTTCGGATGTAGAGACAGTCGCCTGCGGGTGACGGGAGGGAGGGGGTGAGGAGGAGAGAGGGTGAGGGGGTGAAGGGACACACACGTGTACGGGGGAGACAGGTGTGTCATGAGTCAGGAGCCCTAGTGTGACTTAGTACTGGAATAAATTTCTGAAGTAGAGTCGGTGGCGGTTGATGAATGCTAGGGCTGGGATTCGCACAAGGGCGGGTGGGGGGTGTGTAGCAGCAGCATTAGCTCTTTGCCTGTTATGAGCCTTTTTTCGGCTTTGATTCTGTGTGTGATTCCTTTTCAACCAATGGCATAAGTTGTCTGTGGTTACTTCTTCTCCTCTTGGTTCGTTATTGTTGCCCAGATGACATATTGACGGAGGAGCAGCATGAGATGGTAGAGTCAGCAGCTGAGATGCTCTACGGGCTCATCCACGTGCGCTACATCCTCACCACACGCGGGCTCAGTACCATGGTAGGTCTTTTCGAGGCGCCTCAATAGACGATTTTTTAGACGCCTCAAAAATCATTCACGTGCGCTACATCCTCACCACACGCGGGCTCAGCACCATGGTAGGACTTCTCTTCTGCATCACTTGTCAGAAATCGTAGAAATCAAATTCTGGCCAGTGTGTTTGAGTATTCTGTTCCCGCTGCAATATGCATATGCTCGCTTTCTTCTTGCTTCCTCTACCCGACTCTATCCCCATTCACTGTCAGTTGGATAAATTCAAGAATGTCGACTTTGGCCGGTGTCCCAGAGTCTTTTGTTCCGGGCAGCCCTGCCTGCCCATGGGCCAATCAGACATTCCCCGAACAAGCACAGTGAAGATTTACTGCCCGAAATGCGAGGACATCTACTACCCGCGCTCCAAGTACCAAGGCAGTATCCTCCTCAGCGTGCCTCCTCATCTGAGGCTTGCACCCAAACTCCCATCCCAAACCCTTCATCTCATTACCCGTTGATTACCCTGCCTTAATTTCTGACTCCCTTTGTCTATCTCTTTTCTCTCGCCTCCCTGTCAACCCTCTATTTATTTTCACACTCTCCAAAACTCTCCCCCTGCCAGCTTCTCCCCTCCCTCGCTGCATCAGTTTCCCTACTTCCACCCACCTTGCATGTTGCCCGCCTCCCTGCTCTCCCTACCGCACTGCATATACATTGTTTGAGGACAGTACCCTTTTCCACTTACTTGGTGCTCACTTGATGCTTCTCTTTCACTCTTCCTGCAAGACCTCTGCTGCGCTCACCATATCCTCAACCCCTGGTTTCCTTAACCCATGTCGGCTCCTCCCTTTCCTGACTGCCGTTCACCCTTTGTGTGCCTCTCTCCCTATCCTCGCCCTCCTTCCTCGTCCCCATTCACCCCTCTTCTTCTCCTACCCTGTTCCTTTTACCCCATTCTCCTCCACACCCCTCCCCTCCTCCTCACAATCCTATTTCCTTCACTGCCTGCCTCTGTATCTGTCTCCTTGCTTCCTTGTAACCCCTTTTTCCTTACCACACCCCCTTCCCCTTCCTTTCCTTCCTGCTTTATCGTCCACCATTGCTGTATTCCTTCCATCTTCCACCTCCCCGCTTCCTCTCTCCGTTCCTGCCCGTAAAATCATCTAACAACCTACGCGGCTCGGCTCAGACATCGACGGGGCGTATTTCGGAACAACCTTCCCACACCTCTTCCTCATGACCTACCCCTACGTGAAGCCCGCCAAGCCCACTCAGAGCTACGTGCCGCGCGTCTTTGGCTTCCGCCTGCACAGCAGCGCCAAGTAAATCTTCAGAGACGCCAAGTGAAGTTCAGGCGGCAAGGCCTGCGCTTGCTGTCTGATTTTCCTGGGAAGCTCAGGACCGAATCGAGGCTGGTTGGGTCGGACAGTGGTTGCCTCGACTCAAGAGTCTTGATGAGCCTAGCTTGAAAGTCAGGAGAAATCTGCCTTCTTAGCAGCGCCAAGCAGGGGAGGGTTGTTTGCTAAAGGATGAACGGGCATATTGGTTGTGAAGCAGCTACTGGCTGCTAGTTGATGTAGCAGTGCGAGTAAGGGCGTTGGAGATGCCTTGCTACATTGGTTGACACTGACGTGTTCAGAAGGGAGGCCTGGAGGGAGGATCAGGCAGGTTTTGGCGCTGGCGACAGGTGTGGTGTGGGAGCAAAACAATGCACACCTGTTCTTGAAGATGGAGCTCTGGATTAGTGGAAATGTAGGACCCTTGCTGATGGTGCCCTGGCTTTTCTAGGCTTGTCATTTCTTTCCCTTCCATTGACAACCCGCAATACTGGGGTTGTTGATGATGGACCACTGTGATCTAGATTGTAGTACTAACAGTCTGTAAGAGGGCTTTTTACAGCTTCAATCATTACTTCGCTGAGGGTACAATGGAACCGCTTCATTTCGTTGCCTTCATTGCTTTGAGTACGCGCTCTGCGGCAAGGTTTACATCATGAGGCTCCATACCTGGGCGATATCAGCAATGAATCTTGTTCTGATATCATGAGGTATCAGCAGCAAGGCACAGAAGTGGATGGGCAAGCAGTGCGACTCTGTGGAACCAGAATCAACTCCTCTTGTTGACTTCATTCATACTGGGCGTTGTGCTGCTGCATGTTTTTGCATTCGAGGGAGGTACTGGGTATGAGAAAATATTGGTACGGGCTTAGCGGATTAGCAGCTTCATAACAGCTAGGGCATTATTTGAGAGCGGTTTGCTCGCAGGAAAGTAGTCTCTGTTCACGCTCGTCTGGTTTAAGACCTGAGGCGAGTGCAAGCCAATAAGTGCGATGCTACAGCAGCTGTCGTTTAACAATTACCACTGCTGTGATAGGCTTGGAGGTGTCCGTTGCGAAATGGGACAGGTAGGTATTGAGCTATATTAGGTTGTAGGTCGTAAATTACATATGGTTTGCCAAAAGATTGTCCTACTCTTGGAGGATACCGAGAATGATGGACAATGTGAAAGATGTGACGCTAGCGAGAGCCAGGAGAGTAGCGACTGTGAGCTGGCCAATCACAAGAGCAGCGCTGTCGTCAGGGACCAATACTGGCACAGCAATGGCGGCGACGAGGAGCGGGAGGGACGCAGACGCGAAGGTACCGGCGGGGGTGGTGGCGAATTTCTCGGCAAGGCTGAGCAGACCGAGAGACTCGGCCTTGGATAGAAGGCCGAGCTCCTCGATTTTGGAGAGCGTGAGACCGGACGACTCGAGCTTGGAGAGCAGACCCGCCTTCTCGACTTGCGAGAGAAGCTTCTTCTTCTCCAGCTGCTGCACGATGTTCACGGGAGCGGACTCAGAATCCTCGACGAAGATTCCGTACCCAATGAACTCCTTCCTCCAGTCGTCGAGGTAGGTGTTGACCTGCGTGGGGTAGAAGCATTATGATAGGTAAGAAGCTTAATAGTAGGGAAGCTACAAAGGTTTGACCGAATTGCGCTTAATCCCATTTGAGTAAGCATCCTATTGCCAGTAAGTGGAAGAAATGTGACAATGAGGTTCGCATGTTTAATTTTCATATAAGTTGCATCTCTCGAGTGTGCTGCTTAGAATGCAAACTTACCTTCTTCTTGGTGGCCATGGCGACGACGCGAGACTGGCATCGTGCGCCATTGAGCGACTTCAGGCCCTTCACGGAAGAAGAGTCCGAAAAGCCAAGAGCAGTGGCTGCTCCGACCACAACTTGGCACTGTGAGAGAGCACGGACGGTAGCCATCGCTGATAGTCTGTTGATCTCTCGTAAGTGCTCAAGTCACTGGTGACTTGTGAAAATCACCTTGAATGGCTGTGCTGGAAAAGTAAGTAACTACTGAAGCTTGAGTTTCAGGTGCTACTGGCGATTTTACATCAGTTGATTTGGAGGGATCCCCGGAACTAGGACGAGGGGAGGAACTTGACACTGCTGGCACTGCTTTGGGAATCTGGCGAAACTTGATCGTGCGGACAACACGAGAGGCGAAAATTGGGCGAAGGCTGACATGATAGATCCAACGATCATGGACACATCTACTTTGTTCCTCAAACAAGGGGTGGTATGAGGCCTGCGAGCTGTGGGTTGCTATAACGAAAACATGGGCGGGAAGCACAAGGTTGTGCTCGTTGTGCTGCCATGTAGGCAGTGTTCTGGGTGTAATTCTTGTGCTGTTATTGGTCAGCCAGCAACGATGGAAACTCGTGGCGCTCAGAGCACGGAGCCCATGTTCGTGGATTTTCTCATCACCAATCAGCGAAGGATACTCGCTTTCTGGATTTTGCAAGGGCGACGCCCGAAACACGTGCCTGTGATAACCCTGCCTAGCCCAGGGTACCTGAGCGAAGAATACATATGTTACAAATGATTGGCGACCTCGTCAGACAAAAGTTTATACTACAACTTTCTTCAACCAGAAAATGCAACTCAACCATACTGGTATTAATAGGGGCAACACGGGAAAAAGATGCTTGTATGATATTACGGCCAACAAATGAAATGATGCGTCTTGGCCTTAATTTGGCTCTTCCCTCTGCAACTGGAAAGGCTCAACATTGCCAAGCAGGGGAACCAGCATGCTTCTCACAGCGTTCCCTTGCACATATGATTCCTCCCGCACTGCTAGATGTGCAAATTTGCACGCAGCCTCATCTGAAAACGCCAAGGTCCACCGCCCATCCGCCAAGCGTTTGGTGCGGGCTCGTGAGCCCATGGGGGAGCGCGAGGCGAGAGTACCAGCATCGGAGGCTGGGGCCTGGGGCGAGCGGATGCGCAGATGCAGCCAGCGCTTGTGCTTTGGGTCCAGCGACGGCTGGTGTATGGGGTAGGGTGAATGAAGGGGAACTTAATATGCTAAGCACGGTGCAGCACATGTGAGGCATACATCAAGTGCCATCCGGATTCAGAATTGAAATCCTCAAGCGTGGAGGAAAAGGAAGTTAAGAGCTAGCAAAGTTATGGTGTGGGGAGCAGGGGAGCATGGCAGGCACTTTTCAAAAGAGCTGGTGGATGCTTGACTATAAAGAAAGAAAGAAAGAAAGAAAGAAAGAAAGAAAGAAAGAAAGAAAGAAAGAAAGAAAGAAAAAGAAAGAAAGAAAGAAAGAAAGAAAGAAAGAAAAATAGGAGCTCGCAGCAGCGGATTCACCAACCTGGCAGCCTGCGAGGGGAGCAACGACACGGACGATCCCTGTGGCCCCCTCAGCCACTGCAGCCTTGGCTGTCATTCCAGCAGGCGGCTCTGCCAGCAGCACCCAGCCGTTGGCCGCACAGGAGGCCACCAGCAGCAGCACGTGCTTCTCTTTACCCCGCTCGAAGGCCACCCGGCATGGGATGGCGTCGCCCGGCTCTGGGGGAAGGCCAGAGAGGGAGGAGGCATCGAGCGGCAAAACACCAATTTTAAAGGCTGGGCGAAGAGATGCAGCCAAGGAAGGAAGGCATAACTGAGGAGAGAGAAGAGAGAGGGAGGAGATGACCTGGGTGCCTACCTGCGCCTGTGGTAAACGGGAGGGACAGACCTCGACGCACCATGGTGCCTTTGTGAGCATGTACCATGCTGAGCGTATTGCTGAATCGACCAGGACAGGGAGGCACTGACCTAGAGGCACCTCGGTGCCTTCCTGCGCCTGAGGCAGATTGAGCCCCTTGCGGCCGAACCTAGCGTCGAGGAGGGGAGGGGCTGCCGTGGCGAGAGGAGGGGCGTCTGGGAGAGGCAGGCCGAGCAGTGTGGCTCTCATCTGATGCAGCGCCACATACACCTGAGAGAGAGAGAGAGGGAGGACGGGAATGGTTTTTGAGAACGCTTAAAAAACGAGTACATCCAAGCAGAGTGGCTGTCATCTGGTGCAGCGCCACGTACACCTGGGAGAATGCGCACCATGGTCAAGGGAGGGAGGACGGAATTGGTTTTAGGAAACCCTAAACAACCACCTACGGCCAAAATAAAGTAGCATCTAGAGTGCAACCCCACATATACCTCAGAAAGAGGGACAGAGTGTGCGAGTGAGTGTGTGAGTGAGTGTGTGAGTGAGTGCAACCCCCGAATGCTCGTCAGAAGCCTGCATCTGCTGCAGTCCCACTCATTGGCCATGATGAATGCTTTTGGGCTTCAGAATGAGCACTAGTAACACTTTCATTTGTTCCCTCAATGAGCGACATAGCCTGACCTAGCAACCCACCTTGACCACGGTGCGCATTCTCTCGCCGAACGCTGCTGACGACGAGTCACCTGCCATGCAACAAAACGACAGAAACACAGGGCTTCAGTGCGTTCCAACCATGACAGCGCATGTACGTCGTCGTAGGGTGGCTCTTGCAACAACATGGACACAAAACGAAAAGAAACGAAACGAAACGAATCAGAACGAAACGAAAAGAATTGAACACAAGAAAAGATGATGCAGCCGCTTGCACATGAGGCCAACACCAACAACAGCTCAAGGGACCATATCTATAGTGCACTCCATTGAATATGCACAGGAAAACTCATAGGTGGGCTCACCTAGCAGCAGGTGGTTCACATACCATCAGTGAGGAGGGGAGGGAGGCTGGGCATGAGGACGAGAGACGAGTCGTTGGCCAGCGTGGCTGATTCCAGTGCTGTTGCGGGAGAGACCGAGGGGGTTTCGCGCAAGGGGAGAGGCACGCATGGGGAAAATGGGCGAGAGTTGAGGGAGGCTGGGCATGAGGACGAGAGAGGAGTCGTTGGCCAGCGTGGCTGATTCCAGTGCTGTTGGTGGGCCGATGGCAGGAGCAGTGGGGAGGGACATGAATTGGACGAGAAGGAGAGAGAGTTGAGAGAGGACTAGTTTTGAGGTGTTTCTAAAGCAGGGAGGAGGCTGGGCATGAGAAAAGAGAGAGGAGTCGTTGGCCAGCGTGGCTGATTCCAGTGCTGTTGAGGGAGAGACAGCAAAAGAGACGCATGGGAGTCGACGTGAATGCGGAGAAGGAAAAAGAGTGGAGGGAGGATTGGGGAGGAGGTGGAAGGTGGAGCAAAGCAATGAGCAAGTGACTTGGACTGAAGAGGCAAGATGTACAAGCAGGAATCAGAAGACAAGATTCAGACAGAGGAGAGAAGAAGGCGTGCAGAGAGAGGAAAATGCGGGACAGTGAATGTTGAAATGGAGTTTTTGAACGTTCAAAAAAAAATCCAGACATTTAGAAACATGGAGGGAAGAAGAGAGGAGCAAGGTGCTGCATCCCTTTACAATAATACATATGTTTCACAGCATTTGCAACAACCTCATTCCTTCACACATCGACAGCACCTCGCTCCTTGTCAGAAATGTTTCAATCTGTGCACCACGTCCTCACACCTTTGCACCGCTCTGTACCTTTCCGGCATGCCTTCCACTCCTCCACCATGGCAGCAGGCAGCATGTCGCACCAGCAGTCCAAGAGTTCCCCCACCAAATCACCACGCGCCAGCTCATACGCGTGCTGCAGGAGGTGATATCGGAGGTTTGGAGGATCATACGAAATATTTTAAGCCTCAACATATACAGCATACAATGCTGGTTGCTGGTAGCGAGCATACAACATACAACTGTGACTTTCACACACACAGAGAGCATTTGAGATCCCCACACGTACAGTGAGCAGCTTCTTGTGTGCTGACTGCAGGCGATGGCTGGGAGGCAGCAGCTGGCGCAGCAGCCAGCCCGCGTGCCACAGGGCTTCAGGAGAGGGAGGCGGTCTCTTGCACAGCAGCACAAACACCGTGTCCACCACCTGCAGGTGGGGATCGAGGGGGGGTGGGGGGAGGGATAAGGTCGAGACATCATCATGTAAGCATGGCATCATACCACCACCCATTGGTCATGTGACCATGCCATCATGCCACCACCCATTGGTCATGTGACCATGCCATCATGCCACCACCCATTGGTCGTGTGATCATGCCATCATGCCACCATGCAATCATTATAGAAGAATGGCATGGCACCACACCACTGCACCATCACGCACCTGTCGTCTCTTTCTGTTGTGCTGTTTTGATGACGGGGTGTCTGCCCCACCACACCCACACGCTGAACATCTGAATGGAGATGCCTGGAGGGGGAGAAGAGGATGGGGAGGGGTTGTCACGCAGGAAAACACGTTCTGACGCGTATTAAGCCTCGCTGCACGCCAATGGGAGCTTTGGGAAACAGCAAGTGGGCTTACCGGAGGACAGGAAGACAGGGAGATGGGGAATTGAAGGTTGGGCACAAGTGGGGCTAAGGTGAGACACACCTGATTCCGCAAGGACTATTGAACAGCAAAGACTGCTCATTTGCTCACCTTCCCCTCGGCTCGATCCCGCTGCTCATCCAACACCGCGCCTCCTCCCCCTCGCTCATCCCCCCTCACTTCACCTCCTCTCCCCTTCACCCCGCCATCACCATCACGCCCCCCTACTCCTTCACCCCCCTCCCCACCACCCCCCTCCCCGCCACCCCCCACAGCCATGAATCTACTCCCTAACACCGGTCCTGCTCCTGCCCCCACTGCCCATCGCCCACTGCCCGACCCTCTGGTGCTGCTGCCGCACTCGCTGCACTCACCCCCGCTACTGTCACCTCTCAACTCCGCCCTAGCTGCAACAGATGATCCAGACACCGAGCCGGCATCAGAACCTGCTGCTGGTGCAGGTGCTACAGCCGCGTCTGCTGATGATCCCAAGGGTGCCTCTGCTGCTCCATGTGACAGCCTGTCAGCCTCCCTGCCCTCCTCCGCGCCTCCCCCTGTTCCTCCTCCTCCCCGCCCTGCCTCCGCCTGCTCACCCCCTTCAACTGCGTCACTGTCCTGCCGCCTCAGCAGCCGCTTCAGCTGCTCCTCTGATTGGTTGCCCACCAAAGCCTCCTGCCATGTGCGAATAGGAGGTAAGGGGGCGCAGTCAGGGGAAGGGAATTTGGCCAAACCAGTTCCAGCAGAGATTTTAATCGGTGAGTTTCGAGGTGCCTCAATGTTCACCACAAAGCAGTGGGTAAAGGCCTCATGAAGTGCTTTCAGAAGTCACAGTCCATCGCACTCCTTCGCAAGCACCACCCCCCAAGCAGGTGCCTAAACGGAGAGAAAAATAAGCAAGGGCAGCGGCATGGAGAGAGCAAGTCATTGCAAGGGTGAGTGACAGCAAGAGGGCGAGCAAGGGCGAGTGAGTTTTGAGACGTCTCAAAACAAGGGCAGTGGCATGGAGAGAGCAAGTCGTTGCAAGGGTGAGTGACAGCAAGAGGGCGAGCAAGGGCGAGTGAGTTTTGAGACGTCTCAAAACAAGGGCAGTGGCATGGAGAGAGCAAGTCGTTGCAAGGGTGAGTGACAGCAAGAGGGCGAGCAAGGGCGAGTGAGTTTTGAGACGTCTCAAAGCAAGGGCAGTGGCATGGAGAGAGCAAGTCGTTGCAAGGGTGAGTGACAGCAAGAGGGCGAGCAAGGGCGAGTGAGTTTTGAGACGTCTCAAAACAAGGGCAGTGGCATGGAGAGAGCAAGTCGTTGCAAGGGTGAGTGACAGCAAGAGGGCGAGCAAGGGCGAGTGAGGGAGCAAGGGGCGAGTGACAGCAAGAGGGCGAGCAAGGGCGAGTGAGGGAGCAAGGGGCGACTGACCACAAGGAGCCGTCGGTGGCGGCGGTTGCATGGCAGCATGCCCAGTTCCTCCAATAACGAGTCGTGCACCGCTGCAGTGACCATGAGAGGGGCAGGCAGGGTGGGCGGGATGGCGGGATGGGACGTGATGAGACTTATGAGAGAAACGCGGTTGCATGGCAGCATGCCCAGTTCCTCCAATAACGAGTCGTGCACCGCTGCAGTGACCATGAGAGGGGCAGGCAGGGTGGGCGGGATGGCGGGATGGGACGTGATGAGACTTATGAGAGAAACGCGGTTGCATGGCAGCATGCCCAGTTCCTCCAATAACGAGTCGTGCACCGCTGCAGTGACCATGAGAGGGGCAGGCAGGGTGGGCGGATGGCGGGATGGGACGTGATGAGACTTATGAGAGAAACGCGGTTACACGGCAGCATGCCCAGTCCCTCCAGTAACGAGTCGTACACCGCTGGATGACCGAGAGTGCGTGCGGGGGGCAACAGATGTGATGGCACAAAAAAAAAGGGAAAAAGGGAGAGAAAATTGGGTGACAAGGCGAAAGAATTACATGCAACATGAACGGCGCAGATTGCTGCCTTTGCCCCTCATTATCCCTCAGTCCCCCCCCTTCTCCCTCAGTCTCTTTATCCCTCGGTCCACTTCAAATATCATGCACCCCAGCTAAACTCATTCCCGCCTACCTACACTCAGCCTTGCCCCGCCCACCTGTGTTCTGGAGCAGACCGCAGAGCACACAGAGCGACGCCAGCACCCACCGCTCGTTGTTGCACAGCAGGTACGAAACTATCGTGTCCCTGGGGGCAAGAAAAACCGTAAAGGGCGGGAGGGGAAAGAGAGAGATTGGGGGATAGGGCAATGGTAACCACCCACGCTAGCACCCACTGCCCGTTGTTGCACAGTAGGTACGAAACTATCGTGTCCTTGAGGGCGAGAGACAATGGGGACGGGAGATAGAGAGGCGGGGAGATTGAGGAGGGTGGGACATTGAGGAGAGGAAAGGAAAAAGGGAAGTACTGACGTGGGAATGCATTGGATGACAGGGCACAAGCCCAGTACTGGTGGCGTGTGGGGTGGGAGGATAGTTTTGAGGCGCCTCAAAACTAGACTGACGTGGGAATGCATTGGATGACAGGGCACAAGCCCAGTACTGGTGGCGTGTGGGGTAGGAGGAGAGGAGACATACAGGCACTGGCGGCAGTTGGGATGGGGGTCGGAGCCTCGGAGGTGGAGGGGGAGCAGAGGAGCGGGTGGGGCAGCAGTGGATGGGGTGGGGCAGCAGAGGAGGCTGCAGGGGAACAGAACGTACCAAGCGCTGGCAGTGGGGTCGAGGTCGAGGATGATGGTGTCAGAGGCATGTCGCTGCATCCTGTACAGCGAGCCCCTGAGGGGCGAGCTGAAGCTCCTCTGAACCGCATCCGAGCTCTCATTCAGCTGTGGGGAATCACAGCTCTTGATTTGCTGTGGGGAGTCAGAGCTCTTGATGCGTTGGGGCGAGTCGGTAAGGGTCCTGTTGCTGCCACTGCTGTGGGTCCTGAGGTGCCTGCGAGCCGACAGAGCTGGCCTGTCTCGTGCTGATGCTGACCGCACAACCCCACTCCTACCACCACTGCTATTCCCATCCGCCCCACGATTCTTATCTCCCCCCTGCCTGCTTTCTGCCTCCTCCCTTCCAGCAACATACCCGTTCGGCGCATCTGTTGCTGCTGCTACATCTTCCTGGCACTCCCCTGTTCTCTCCCCCCCTCTCTCCCCTGTTACCTCACTGCCCCCATCTCTACCCTCCCGCCCTTCCAGCCTCTCTGAGAAGGAACCCCCAGGTGAGTCCGCGATTCCACGTCTTGCTGACAGCGGCCACTTGGCCTTCTTCCCTTCTGTCCTGTCTGCTGCTGGGGATTCTCCCCTTTCTGCCACCACTCCTGCACTCGCCCCTCCATCCCTCCCCTCTGCTGCCGCTGCTGCTGCTGCAGAAGTAGAAGGTGGGGAGACTATTCCTTGCGCAGCAGAAGCAGAAGCAGAAGCAGGGGTTGTAAGGTGAGCAGGAGGGGGGACCGGAGGTCGTGCAGAGAGGTGATGGGTATCAGACAACCTGTGACCTGCTGTTGCTGTTCCTGCTGTGCCTGCCGCAGCAGCCGCTACTCCTACCAATGCTGTTGCCGCACTACCAGCACCAGCAGCACCACTAGAAACTCCCTTCCTCCCTTTCCCAAACTCAAACTCGCCATCCTGAACACCAAAATCCGCAGAGCTCGACGCACTTCTGCTCCTCCTAACCTGCTGCTTCTCCTGCCGTTTCTCCTGCGGTTTCTCCTGCTGCTTCTCCTGCTGTTTCCCCTGCTGCTGTTGCTGCTGCTGGAACTCGTACAGCTGCGGCAGCACCCCGTCGGAGCCAGCAGGGCTGGCGGAGAGGGAGGCGGCGATGGAGCGGGTGGCGGTGTCGAGGAAGGGGCGGTAGGTCACCACGTGCAGCACACGCGACAGCAGGTACATGGCGCACAGCGGTGAGATGCGCTTCGCCTGGAGGAGGGGGATTAAGCAGCAAGATGGGACAAGGGACAGGATGCAGGCGAAAGTAGGGTGAAGGTAAATCAGGTGTGCGGTCGAGCTAGATGGATGTGCATTCCTGCTGGAGAGAGGGATTGAAGGGATAAGGGAGACGAGCAGGGCTGGCGGAGAGGGAGGCGGCGATGGAGCGAGTGGCGGTGTCGAGGAAGGGGCGGTAGGTCACCACGTGCAGCACACGCGACAGCACAGCAGATACATGGCGCACAGCGGCAAGATGCGCTTCGCCTGGACGGGGGAGAATCGGGCAGCAAGGGAGGCGATGCAGGAGAAAGTATGGTGAAGGTAAATCAGGTCTAGAGTCCACGGGACGAGGGATGTTCGTTGCCTCGTGGGGTTGAAAGGGAAAGAGAAAGGAAGAGGGATACGGCGCACAGTGGTGATATGCGCTTCGCCTGATGGGGGGAAAGGATGAGGGGAAGGAATGAGCGACGAGCAAGGATGAAGGGGAAGGGATGAGGGATTGGACTGGAAATAGTGAGCGAGGAGGGACAAAGCAATGCATGGGCCGAAGTAGAACATCCGTTCCACACTCACATTCGGCGAGCCAGACTCGGGGGAGAGCGAGGCGAGCAGCACAGGGAAGACCCAGATGCTGAGGAGGTGCTCCGAGACAACCTCAGAGAGCTGAGGGATACCGGCACTCATGACGTCGTTGCAGTAGTAGAGCAGATCGCCTATCTCCGCTATTGACGCCTCCACCCGCCCCACGTCCACTATTGACCCAAAGTTCCTGTGCCCAGTCGAGACAAGGGTGGGTGGGCGGGTGGGTGGGTGGTCAGGTGGGGGCACAGAGGAAGGGAGGGGTGAGAGCTTTGGGAATGCCAGCGCTCATGACGTTGTTGCAGTAGTACAGCAGAACACTGACTTAACCACCCACCCACCCATTGACCCAGGCGCCATGCCCACACACCCACCCACCTGACAGCATTCGCGACGAGGCGAGCAAGGGTGAAGCTCTGCTGGCGCACGAAGATGGCGAGGTCCTCAAAGTACCGGATGGCGGACGGGCTCAGCACAAAGCGGTTGGCCCGCTCGTCATGCACTGATGGGGGGGGGTAGGCAGGGTGGGGGAGTTGTTGGGGGGGGTTGGGATGAGGGGGGAAGGGAAGGGAGGATGGGAAAGGGAGGGGGAAGGGGTTGTTTTGAATAAAAGGGAAATGTAAGAAACCCGAGACAGCACGGCGCGCAGTGCACGCTGGTGGGGGGTGCGAAGGTGAAGCTCTGCTGGCGCACGAAGATGGCGAGGTCCTCAAAGTACCGGATGGCCGATGGACTCAGCACAAAGCGGTCTGCCCGCTCGTCATGCACTATGAGGGAGGGGAAGAAGAAGGGGAAGGGTGAGGCAAGGGGAGGGAAGGGGAGGGGGAAGTGGTGGTTTGGATGAAAAGGCAATGTGAGGAACCTGACACAACACGGATGCGGGGTGGCAAGGTGGGTGCGGAGAGGATGGGTGATAGGGGACCGTTGGGGGGTGACGGTGGCAATGTATGGCAGTCGCATGGTTGGAAGGGGAAGTGCTATGTGGGGCTGAAAGGGAATGACCAGCAGGTTTCATGCTAGAAAAGAATAAACGGAGGAGAGAAAAAAAATGGCTTACCATTGTAGATGGTGAGGGTGAGAGTGCGCACGGCGATGCGGACCATGCTCTCCTCGTGGTGGAAAAAGCGGATCGCCTCCACATACAGGGGAAAGGCGCTGCTGCCATCCTGCCACCATACAATTATTCCACATCACCATGCAACCAAATGGAAGTCATCAGTAAACCATACTATACCACGCCACGCCACCATCCAATCCAACAATTCCATGTCACCATCCAACCATTCCATGTCATATCATAATCCAACCATTCCTTGTCACCATCCGACCATTCCTTGTCACCATCCGACCATTCCTTGTCACCATCCGACCATTCCTTGTCACCATCCGACCATTCCTTGTCACCATCCGACCATTCCTTGTCACCATCCATGCATTGCATTCCATGTCAGCACGAACTCATGCCATGTGTGCATTTTACAACCATACAAGCCAAGCAGCCGCTGCATCAGTCCGCTGCCATGGGATAAAACTAAGAATCAAGAACAGTGAGAGCGGATGCAGATGCAACGCACAGTGCACACAGCACAGTGTCTGCTGCAGCATCATACCGACCATTTGGCAACGTTGATATTCACTCGTATGATGGTGGTATCCACGGCACACGTTGCTGTTGCTAGTACAAATACTACAGGTTCGGATCGGTACAGAGTGGTGGTGTGTGGCGCACCTCCTTTTCCACGATGAAGTATGAGATGGTTGATTTGTCCAGCTTCATGCTCAGCGTTCTGCCATGAGAGGGAGGGAGGGAAGGAGGGAGGGAGAGGATGCGCAACACACAGACACGTGCAAGTGCATGCACGTATGAGGGGCAGCGGTCTTCTCCAGCAGCAACACATGCATGCGCACATAAGCTCCTATGCTCGACTGGGAGCTCCTATGCCCAACTGGGAATGCATGTGCATGCGCAAATGAGCATGGTGCGATTCTCACAGAGAGCAAACCAACCAAGTGCGTTGGTGGAATGAGAGAGATAAACATCGGTTGGGTCGGGGCACATGAAAGGCTGCAGCCAAAATCAAGGTCAATCAATAAGCCTCTCAATGGAGATGAAAGGAATGGGGATCGGAGAAGAAGACAAGGTGGGACGGGAAAGCACAAAAGAGGTGGCCACTCGCTTGAGGAAGGAGATGTAGTATGCAGTCAAAGGAAAGGAGACTCTTGAGTCGACTCAAGAGTCAACTCGGATCGGAAGCACACAAGAGGCGGTCGCTCACTTGAGGAAGGAGATGTAGTATGCGAGCAGCTCCTCGTCGGAGAAGTCAAAGGGGAAGGAGATGACGTTGTTGATGTGCTCCTTGCTGAACATGTAGTCTGCCGCGCCATGGCGTTGAGTTGGGTGTAGAGAGGGGGGCGTGGGAAGGGTGAGAGAGTGGTGTGTTGACGATAGGGTGGGGGGATGATGGAGGGTTGGGGGCGGGGGGGTTAGGGGGAATTCAGATACTTTGCTTCTTGTGGGGAAGTATGGGTGGGGGAAACAAGGGGGGGAATGGGGGGAAACAACGAGAGGGGGAGGGGGGGGGGTCGAAAGAGGGAAGAGAGAGGACGGGAAGTTAAAAGCACTCTATAGTTAGCCTGCTGGCGAGAGCCAACAATAGAGGGGAGATTGTGAGTAAGCTAATAAAAAACCTGACTATTTTTTTCACTCCTAGGGATCTGGATCATGAAACAGAGCGTTCACGGGTGCCCTTCTCACACTCACAGATGGCCTTCTCGCTCTTGAGGTTCTGGATCATGAGGTTGAGCGTCATAGGTACCCGTTTGTCACTCGCAGATAGCTTTTTCGCTCTTGAGGTTCTGTAATAGATGATGAGTTTGAGCGTCTAAGGTACCAGTTAATCACTCACAGATGGCCTTCTCGCTCTTGAGGTTCTGGATCATGAGGTTTAGCGTCTGCAGCAGCTGCACCATGACCCCCTCGCACTGCGGCGACGGCTGATTGGCCAGCGCCATGATGCGGATGAACTGCGCGAACACGCCCTGCTCCACAAAGAACCTGCGCACAGCATGTGATTGGACGGGCGGAGGCAAGGTTGAGAGTGAGACCACGAACACGCCATGCTCCAGGAAGGACCTCCGGGATGCAGGCGAGTGAAATGAAAGCACGTTTAAAAAATTGTCAAGTTAACAAGCATGTCCACGTGCATTCATAGATCAATGTGCAAATGCAGTCTCGAACGCCATTGCACATGAAGGACGGCCAAATGGAACATGAATCACCTACAGATAGAGCAGACAGAAGAGCATCTAATCTGGATAGCTATAGCAACCAGACGAATGTTTATGAGCCGAAGGAATGGAGTCAGAAACGCGATACCACCAATCCTCTCCTCTCGTTAGCCTACTCGAAAAATGCAGGCTCGTGCTGGTCCCCCCATATCATCAGCTCCGCTATAGACCTCAACGTCTCCACTACAGTGTCCTGACAGAATTAAAATGCAAACAGGAACAACTCCAGCGAGAGGGATGAAGAAAGGAGCGGGAAGGCATAGACAAATCAAAAACACGGAAGCAGCTCTTCTCTATAAGCTCTTCGCATGGAATCACTGGGAACGAGACGCTTTCAAACAGGGCTGGTGGCTACAAAGTACAGTAAAATAGGGTTGTAAACCGTGTTACGATGCTCGTACTGCGACATGGCTTGTCTCGAACGAACCTTGTTCGCATCGCTAATGATTGTGTGTTTCTGAAGCACGTCGTTCAGATGCCTGAGGAGAGATCGAATAAGGAAGTAAAGGGGGACTGGAAATCGGTAAACTAAACATCGAAGTGTTCGGACTAGCAGGACGAAGCGTATGTAATATCAAATAAAATAAAATAAAATAAAACCGTCACAATCCGTACGTCAACCGCCTCGCTTCCTTAAGTTTTCATAACCTAGAAACGCCGACGCTTACTTCAACTCTTCCAGCGAGAAGCGCTCTCGCTGTTTCCCCCAGATCGCCCACATGATGCACCGCCGCTTTCTCTACGACTCGCTCTGTAGAGGCCAGAACGACTCCGCACCTACAGACACCTAGCCCCGCGTCGCATCATGGAAACTACGACAAGCTCTCGTACGAATGACTAGTCTTCATGAAGGATGCCAGGGCTAGGAGAGGACGGCAGTGAGGACCAACAGACCCACAAAGACCTGCCAGCAGCAGCAATGATTCTTCATTGGCTAAGGGTCAGTCAACAATGTGGGTGGTGATTAAGGGCGCGTCCTTGAGGTTGAGCTTTTGCCAAAGTTCGAACTTTTAAAAAGGTTGAACACGGTATGATGCATTTGAGAGACGGGTCACCACGGTACAAAGCGGTAATAGCTCGAACTTAACACGTCCTAATAAGAGGGAGGATGGTCAAGTGCGCAAGCAGAGGAGCGCGTGTTGCGTTTGATTTAGGTTCAGAAAGATTCTTCGCTTTCCAGAGCGGTCACATAATCTGGGTAGTGTTTTGTTTGACAAGAAACGTTGGGTCCCACACGAGCAGGACAATGGGGGGGATGGGGTCGGATGGTTGGTCGGCCCTCGATATTGTCCCAGGTGTTGGCGGAAAAGTGCAATGGGCAAGTGAACAAGCCTTGGACGTGCAGGCGAGAGCTCGCGAACGAGCGTAACGAACGCATCCACAGTGGGAAGTCCGTATGATTGACTTACCTTCACACTTGAATCCTCTCACAACACCAAAAGCTCAGTTTCTTGGCAAATGGACCAAAGCATCTTCACCTCTTGAATTTTTTTGAAAAATATATCTGTGGTGAAACTCAACACTCCATCGTCATCCCTTAATCCCTTGCTTACAACTAACCTAATAAAACCGTGTGATGATTTGGAACTCGTCATCCTCCATCACCCGAACATCCTTAGCCCCTGGGAAGTGCTCCAGCCCAATCGCATGAACAATGTCCACAAACTTCTGCCGGCTCTCCTTAGGCAGCGGCACATATGGCAGGCGGAAGACAGGCCTGACGAGCCCAAGTTGGCACAGTGCGGTGTTGAGGCCGATGGGGTTCGGCTCCACAAATAGCCAGTTCACTAGAGGAGCAATTTTTGCGTTCAGCTCTGGGTTTGGACCCTTCAGAAGCTGGCTCACAATTCCTGGTAGTGAATGGCACATCCACAGCAGCATAAAACGCCGAGAGAAAAATGCACAATTAAGAAATCACGATTTGGAGTGACAAGGACATGATGCTGGAACATCCGAACGAGGCATGCACGGAGCAGATTAAGTCCTCAGAGAAACAAAAGACGAGCAGGAGATGAAAAGAAGCTGACTTGCCTGGAACGAGATTGCTGACGACGGAGATGACGCCTTGCCCGCCATGGTTCCACTTGGCATCATGGAACTGGTCATCGTTGCCGCTCCATGCCACAATGCCCTTCTGCGCGTACCCGTGGATGCGCTCATTGCCTGCGCACTCCTTCACCCCGGCAAAGTTCTCGTGCGTGGCAATGGCCTCGATGACTGATGAAGGAATGTCCTGCCCCGTTCTGCCCGGCACGTTGTACACTATGGCTGGGCCCATGGGCAGCACCACACTGCACAGGAGATGGGAAACAGGCGGGAGAGGAGGAGCCTCTCAGGAGTCGGAGCAATGGCTGGCATATTCTGATGTACACGTGGCTGGGCCCATAAGCAGCACCACACTGCAGGGGAGGCGGGGAACATGGGGGGAAGGTGGAGGGGGGTTCACTCAGGAACCCCTGGCACGTTGTAGACCATGGCTGGGCCCAAGGGGAGCACCCCAGTGCAGGGGAAGGGTCAAGATTCAGAGCAATGGCTGGCACGTTGTACAGAATGGCCTGGGGAGGGGACAGAAGGCGGAGGAGACGGGGAAAGGGGTGGGGAAAGTTGGGGGAAGGGGGAGGGGAAGGGGGAGAAAAGGCGGAGGAGAGGGGGAACGGGGTGGGGGGAGTTGGGGGGAGGTGTTGATGGCGAGGGTAGGAGACAAGGGATGCAATAGAAAACTCACTCAAAATGACTCTTGAGTCCGTCCAGCGACGTCTTGCCGTAGTACGGGTTGATTTGCAGCGCCGCGTGCATGCCCACCGCGAAGCCCTGCTCGGTCGCATGCATGGCCTCGCGAGTGCTGTTGCTGCCCGTGTTGCCCACGATCTTGAGCTTGTTGCCGAAGCAGTACACTGAGTGCGCGATCAGCATCACGTGCTCGTCCCAGCTCATCAGGTGCCCCTCGCCCGTGGTCCCGCCCACGATCAACCCCTCTGCACCGTTCTCGATCTGGTGGTGCACCAGCTCGTCGTACGCGTCCAGGTCGAAGCGGCCGTCTGGGAGGTACGGCGTCTTGATGGCCGTTATGAGGGACAGCGCCTTGATCTGCTCGATGTGCGGCCTGGAACGGAGGGAGTGGGAGAATCAACAGACAGGAGGAATAAAGGATGTGAGTTGGGACGAGGGCCGTGAGTTGCTCGCTGTGTGGACTACGAGGAATGGAGGAGAAAAGACGGAGGGAAGGAGGAGGTTGGTGGGGGGGAGATGCGAGAAAGAACGGGAAAGGACCTTGAATTCACAACTCATGCTTTCCATCTGTTGGGTACGTTTAGTTCTTCCGCCATATCACACAATGTCTAGCCATTCACTCAGTTATGCGTCCCTCGAGCTAATGCATAACTTCCGGCCAAATGAGTTGCCGCCAAAATCGTGGAACTATCGTGCACATGCTTGATGAGCCGCTCTGGAACAAGCAGGGCATTGCGAATAAGCGACACACGCTGGGAAAATATCCTCGCCCTCCCGTCTGCTCGTCATACCCAGCGAGAGAGCTCAAAGAACCTCCCAATTACCACCTTATTTCGAAACTTGGAATAAAGCCGGATAAAAATATGCTGGTTGCTGATTGAAGAACAGGGCGACAGGCCAGAGTCAAGGCCTATATTATCACAGCCGGGAGTACAAGAGTTTAGAGTTCTTCTTCTTTTTGTTTCCAAAATATGATTCGAAAGAGGGATATTCGTACAGGTTTCGCTCCTCGTGGCTCTTCATCGGTACCGGCGGCGTCTCCATCATTGCTGCACGCAGCGACAGCCGACAGCCATTGGATCTCCGGCTGCTCGCCGCGTTCAACGGCATCTTGACGGCGTTCGCAAATTCCGCGCTCCTCGTGAAGGACGACTGCCCTAGCTTGACGTCGCGACACCGCACAACTCCCACATCCAGGGACATGCTCGCGGCCATGAGCGGCGGTTGCGGGAGAAGCGGTAAGATGACCTTTTAATCGATAATTAACACACTCTTTGGAGAGATGCGAAGCGGTGGCAACACAAGTTACAGAAAGCAACGTGAGAGTCCCGAAAAAGGTAGTGCTTCAAGGTTGCAGGCACTGCAGTGGAGAGTAGAACTCCGAGCAAGAAGAATTTCTTTTTGGCGGACGAATGATGAGCTTTTGTGAGAAAGGGAAATGGGAGGATGAAATCTAGGGAGGGAGGGGTGGGCCCGAATTTGAGGCGAAGGGTGAGCTTCACGGGACGAGATAAGCTCTGGCAGCACAAAGTCCCCGTTTTCGCGCGAAAATCTGCCACCCAAAGACCTTTCCAGGTCTGCCCGCTGTTTTCCATTGGTTGACAGTGAGTGCAAAACGTGAAAGCAGACCGAGATTCGACCAGCACGCCCAATCATCAGAGGGACCCTGCTGTCTGACGCGGACGAGCGCTCGAATGTGAGTATCACCGAGGGTCACCTTTTATTGGCCAGGGCTTTGCAGCCAAAATTGATGTTTAAATCCGCTCCAGAAAAAGATCCTCTACTCGGCAAAAACCGTGAATTCTGATGCACGCAACGCCTGGAGAATGTGGGTTTCAACTTTCAACATACTCTACCCTGAACCTCCCTATCTTCACCTCCTGCTTGGAAAACTGCAGATTACTCCTACCAGCTGGCTACTGGCTCTGTGTACATACGACTGGCTCAAATCCGACCTTTAAAGGGTGGCAGTGTTATTGAGCCAAGAAGGCTACAAATGCTCCAGCGAAGTCGTCGATGCCTTCGATTCGACCTGCACCACCGTTGAAACTTATGGCAGGCGCCAGAGCTCTTTCACAAACCAATGGAGGATGATACGCCTACATACATTTGGCCCTAACACACCCTGTTAGGACGTCGTGGCCTCATGGTGAATGTGTGTCAGGGACTTCATTTCCTAAGCACTGGAATGAAGGGCGAAATCTCCCTCTCAAGCTCCTCCATGCTCCTCTCAAGCTGCTCCTGGAAATCCCTATCAACCTCTGTCACTGCCCGCCCATGCACCGCCACCGCCCGCTTGCACACCACCACAAACCTCACGATCGCATCTGTCAATGTCTCCACACCCGACGGTGACTGAAGCTTCGACGGGTCCTTGGGTCTCGGCTCCAGGCCATGAGGATTGGCCTCATAAAATGCCATGCATACACCCAGCACCCCGCTATTAACCTGCAGCGCAACACTCCCTTGCAGCAATCGCTGCAGCGTCTGTATCCGAGGCAGCCGTAGCGACCCGCTGGCTGTCGCAGCTGCGGCTATCAGTGCCGTCACTGCTGCTGGGTCCTGTGGCACGCGTCCCCCTCCTCCTGCTCCTCCCATTCCTCCCCCTGCTCCTCCCGCCGCTCCCAACTGGCTTGCCATTTCCATCTCCAGTGCATGCGACCTGTTTTCAATGATCTCCACGGCACATTGCAGCGGCGAGTACTCCCGAACCTCCGACCGAACCACCGGCTGGCGGCTGATCAGGCTCGGCAGCGTGCTCTGGGTGTACACCAGCGTGCGTCTCTTCCACTGGTCCTCCATCCGACCATGCTGCTTCCCGTTCGGCGTGAACGGCGTGTCAAAAAAGAAACAGTTGAACACCGGAGCTCCGGCCACGGCTGGGTCGATGGTTCGGCCGAGCCAGCGGTTGTCGCCGATGCCAACGACAGGCTCGACGGCGGTGATCTGCATGTAGACGAAGCCGGGCTTGAGGGCGGCAGGGTCCACCTGGCGCGAGTCCTGGATGACGTGGAGGGGCTCCTCATTGGGCTCCCGTGCATCGTAGAGCGATTTGAGCTTCTCCATGATGTCTCCCAGCCGTACCTCCCTAGGCTCCCGGTAGATGAACTCCCTGCGGTTTGAACGAGTGGGGAGGGGGGGGGAGCGGCGTGTGCATGGTAAAGGAAAAGTATGAACATGGGGTTCCTTGTCGGGCTTGCGGGCGTCATAGAGCGATTTGAGATTCTCCATGATGTCTCCCAACCATACCTCCCGAGGCTCCCAGTATATAGACTCCCTGCAGTGGGAAAGTGGTTCAGCATGAATGTGGTCAGGGGAAAGTGCCGGCATGGGGCTCCTCATTGGGCTCGCGCGCGTCATAGTGCGATTTGAGCTTCTCCATGAGTCGCCCAGCCGTACCTCCCTAGGGTCCAGGTAGATGAACTCCCTGCGGTTGACAATGGGATTGGCATCGAGGCGTGAATGGATAAGAGGCTTCTTGTTGCATAGCCAGGGTTCAGCCCCTCCAGGGTTCAGCCCCTCCACAATGTCGCCGGCCGTATCGGTACCTCCAGAGGCACCTGGCTGGTAGATTAACGCCCTGCAGGTGGATGGGGAATGAAAGCGGATTGCATGGTAATGAGCGTGGGGATGGGAAGCAGATGCTGTGCAGATTGTAAGAGGATTTGACAATAACGAGGGGATAGGTTGGTTGGATGAGGACGAACGAACATTGTAGCGACCTGAGGCTGGCAAGGGGCTCCAAAAAGCTCAATGTGATCAATGTGATCACATAGGTTACCTGCCATCAATGTGACCGAATAGGTTACCTGCCATCAATGTGACCAAATAGGTTACCTGCCATCAACGTGACCAAACAGCTCACCTGCCATCAATGTATCCGAATCGCTCCCCATAAAAGCCGACTCGATAGTACGTTGCGTCCTTGAAGGGGATTGGGTTCTGCTCCTGCGCCAGCACGTTGTCATAGATGCCTGCGAGCGACGTGTGACACTTGGACAGCTGCACAAGGGAAGAAGGAGGGATGCAGAGAGGAGTAACGACCAGGAGTGTGAAGCAGGAAGGGGACAGGGCGGGTGTGCAGGTGCAGTTAGCTAGACGCTTGCAAGCGACGTGTGGCACTTGGACAGCTGCAAAAGGGAACAAGAGAGGGATGTAAAGATAGGAATGTGAGTGAAGGGAGAGAGGAGGAGGGAATCAATACTCATGATGTGTTGCTCTTTTGCAGATGCCTGTGAGCAGCACGGAGGTTAGGGGAGTAGATGTGTGAAGGGGGGAGTGGAGGTGGGGTTGGGCGGGGAGGAGGAAGACGGCCTTTTTAACGTATTTTCACACACGTGACTTCACAGTCACGTGACTTCACAGTCACGTGAGGCACACTGTGGGCACACAACCCCTGGAACAGGCAACAACTGGATGACCCTTCTACCAGGGGAGCCTCACTTCGGACTCTTCAAGTCAACTCAATAGGGGGGCTTCCATTCATACCTGGAAGAAGTCGCGGCGGAAGCGGAAGACGGGGATGGTGAGGGAGAGCATCTCAGCGCAGAAGAGCTCTCAGCACGCGCCTGGCAATGTACACTGCATGCATGCATGGAATGCATGCTAAGGAATGCCCCAAACGCGCGCGCACACACACACACACAGCCGCAGAGGGACGCGTACCTGGAAGAAGTCCTGTGGGTACGCTACCAGGGACGCTACCAGGGATGCTGCCAGGGACGCTACAAGGGACGCTACCAGGGACGCTACCAGGGACGCTACCAGACGCTACCAGGGATGCTGCCCGTCTCGTACCTGGAAGAAGTCGCGGCGGAAGCGGAAGACGGGGATGGTGAGGGAGAGCATTTCAGCGCAGAAGTGGAAGAGCTCGGCCTTGGCAAAGAAGCTGGACGCCATCTGCAGGTACTTCACCGCACTGTCCGTGTTCAGACACGTCGCCCCAAAGTCGCTCTCCCCTCCCCCTGCTGCTGCCGCGCCCGCGCCCCCTCCGCCTGCAGCGCCCTTGGAGGTGTTGGTGAGGCGTGGGCGGGAGGAGGGGCGCGGGGGACGCGCACGCCACTGGTGGCGGGCGAGAGGGCAGACCCGCCAGAGAAGCTCCAGGTGCTCCGCTTCCCACGCGCACTCTCTCGTGGTTGATGCGTGCAGACCCTGTGGGGTAGTGGCACAGGGTGTGAGGAGGCAGGGAGAAGAAAAAATGGTTCTACAGAAGCATGTGCGATGAGAGTCGCGTGCAGGCAGTGGCAAGTGCCCAGTTTTGAGGCTCCTCAAAACTAGAGGCACAGGCAGTGGCAAGTGCACACTGGGTGGCCTCGTTGTGCTCACCTATGCCGCAACCACCCCACAACTATCCTCCTCAAACCCTACTTATTCCAAAGACGAGCGTATGTGGAGCTCACCCGGATGACCACCCCCGCCACGGACAAAGCGCACTGGGTGGCCTCGGCCCTTTTGAGTCGACTCAAAAGTCATCTCTTTATTCCAAAGACAAGCGTATGTGTAGTGTACTCACACCCTACTCACACCCTACTCACACCCTACTCATACCCTACTCACACCCTACTCACACCCTACTCACACCCTACTCACACCCTACTCACACCCTACTCACCCGGATGACCACCCCCGCCACGGACACAGCGCACTGGGCGGCCTCGGCCCACTGGCTCATCTCCTGGTGCGCCTCACAGAGGTGCAGCATCCACATGATGTACAGGTCCGGCACGTGCCCGTACGCCTGCGCCAGGATGTAGTAGCTCTCCACGATGGCGTACCGGTCGTTGGAAGTCTTGAGGCCCTCCATCTGCATGGGAACAGATGATGGTATTGTGGGGGGAACACGGAAAGGGGCATTGAGGGGCTGCGCTTTCCATGCACCTGCCTGCGCCAGGATGTAGTAGCTGCGGTGCCGCATCCACCACGATGAGCAGCATGTACTGCAGCGCAGCTCATCCACGTTCCTCCGCGATGTGAATACCCCACTGTAATTCATCAGCTACCCGTGCTGTAATCTAAAGGCACTACTGACTCACCAGCTGCTCATGCTGCGAGGCAGCGTCCACAACAGTGAGCAGCATGTCCTGCAGCTCATCCACGTTCTTCCTTGACCACCGGTCCCGAATCCTCCTCTCCCTCCTCCTCCCCTGCCTGCCCCTCCTCCGCCGCCTCCTCCCATTCTCCCCGTCATACTCATCCAAATCATCAAACTCCTCCTCATCCTCCTCTTCATCATAATCATCCTCCTCCTCTTCATCCTCCTCCTCCTCTTCCTCCTCGTCATCATCCGCCTCATCCGCCTCTTCATCCCCCACCATGATTTCCAGGCACATGTCTGGTAATCCGCTCTCTGCCAGCAGCCCGAACCACGTCTCTTCCGAGCCTAGCTCCTCCAATGAGAAGCGCAGCCGCTCCACCTCGAGAGACTCGGTGATCTCCCCGGGCCTGGCGCCGCGCTGCAGCAGGCGCAGCTGCATCATGACCTCGGAGAGAGCGACTGTTAGGATGACCCTCAGGTGGTGCACGTTTCCCATGTGCAGCAGAGCTGTCTGGAAGTTGGGGTGGATGGGGTGGGGAGGAAGGAGATTTGAGAGAGCATGGGGGCAAGAAGGTTATATTGGAGGCGCCACACACACGATCTTGGAGAGTACGACGGGAGGACGAGCCGCAGGCAGTGCACGTTGCCCATGCGCAGCAGAGCCGTCTGGAAGTTGGGGTGGGGTGGGGAGGAAGGAGATTTGAGAGAGCATGAGGGCAAGAACGTAATATTGGAGGCGCCACACACACGACCTTGGAGAGTACGACGGGAGGACAAGCCGCAGGTAGTGCACGTTGCCCATGCGCAGTGCAGCAGAGCCGTCTGGGGGGGGGTTCAGTGAGGGGGGGACGAGGGGAAAAGAGGGGGGAAGGAGGGACGGAATGGGGGACAGCAGCGGTGGGCGGCTCAAAACCGTGAGGCCCCGATAGTGGGCAGGTGGTGGAGGGGAAAACAATCACTTCATAATTAGCTTACAAACATTTCCCTTGAGCCGCGCCCGCGCGTCGTTTTCCCTGCTGCTCGCGAGCTCGTTCTGCCTTGGAAACTTTGAGCTCTTCTGTTTCCCGATCCTCTCAAACCCTCAACCAGCTCACCCGCAGCAGCAGCAGCAGGCAGAGCAGCGCTCGCTTGCGCACGAACTCAGGCTTGACAATGAGGCGTTTGAGCAGGTTCCCAAACATGTCCTTGAGCCGCGCATCGTTCGCCTTGCTGCTCGCCAGCATCGCCCTGCCATGCAGCCGCAGCATCTCCGCAAAGGCCGGCACAAACACCTCCCAGAACGACACCGGCTGGCCAGGAGAAACAGGAGAATGGGGCAGGAGAGGAAGGGAAGGGAACAGACGAATTTGGGATAGAAGAGTTTGGGAGAGAGGTTTGGCTTGGAAGAATCTGCGTGGGGATTGAGAATTCTAGTTGGTATTTTAGAATTCTCAAAAACCAATTTGGGATAGAAGAGTTTGGGAGAGAGGTTTCGCTTGGAAGAATGTGCATGGGGAAAGAGCGATGATTAGCTGTGTGTGTGCAGCCGCAGCGTCTCTGCAAAGCCCGGCACAAACATAGACCTCCCAGAACGACACCGGCTGGCCAGGAGCAGAGCGAGGAGAGAGGCGGATGGGAGGGACAGCAGAGTGGTAGCAGAGAGTTTTGTACGTGTAAGGGCGAAAGGAAAAAATATGAAGGCGTGCATCCATCCATCTAGTGGAATGCCTTCTTGTCTGGAAAGGGCACAAACACTTTTGAAGCGGCACGGGCCAGACAAGAAGCACGGTGCTGTGTGCCTCCACGTTTTACCTGGAGGCAGGCTAAGGGAAGGCGTTACCTGGGGCATGCTGAGGAGGGCGGATATGGGGCCAGTGAGGCAGTCCATGGTGTCATAGTCCGTCACCACCGGCCCCTCCGCTGCCAGGTCACTGAACTGCTCCAGCACCTCCAGCACCTGCAGCGACACCCACCCTGCCATCGTCGCCTCCCACATGGCCTGGTTGTGTTGAGTGGGATGGGGAGGATTGAGATGATCAGTAGAGAAGGGGAAGCTTCCTAGGGTTGAAAGTCTGGACTGAACACCTCCAGTACTTGCAGCGATACCCACCCACCCTGCCATGGTTGCCTCCCATATGGCCTGGGCGAGGTGGGATTGTGGGGCCAGGGGGGGTGGGGGAAAGGAGGGTGTTCAGCAGGGGAATAGGTGAAGGCACAGCCGCGGTCGCTCAACTGCTCCAACACCTCCAGCACCTGTAGTGACACCCACCCTGCCATGGTTGCCTCCCACATGGCCTGAGCGACTGGGGTTGTTAAGCAGGGGTCCAGGGGATAGGTGAAGGCACCGCCGAAACGGGTACTCAAGGGGAGGCGAGCGTGAAAACTGTAACCCCGACAACAAGCAAGAGGCCCGATGGTGGCTCACTCTCTCACCAGTTTCTCGGAAGCAGCGGGCGGCAAGCCTTGTCTGAGAATGGTCATGGCTTCCAGCGGCGCCACCCGGGCCCGTCTCAGCTCCTCCCGCAGCGGCACGGGCGGGCGGGCAGGAGTCTGTGGTGGTGCGGCGGTGGAGGATACACCGCTGTACTTGCGCACTAGCTGCTCCCGCTCGCCACTCCCCTAGAACGGGTGCAGGGGGAGGGGATGGGCATGGAATGAGAGATTGGTTGAGGCTTCTACCCCAGCGATATCGTTAGGTGGGGCTCCGAGGTCCAGGTGGGGTGTGTGTTGGGGAGAAAGCAGAAGAGAAGTCAGGTGGAACAGATTTAAGTTGTAGAAGAAGCATGGAACAGCTGTGATACAGTCCACTTTGCTAGCTAGACAATTCGCCCAAAAACTGAGTTACTAGGGTTTCTCTTTTAAGCCCCCTCACATGGATTGCTCGTCCCCCGGCTCTCCTGCATGCCCACAGGGATTGCCCTCCCTCCCTTACTGTCTCCCTGCCTGCCTGCCTGCCTGCCTCCACCAGTTCAGCTCCCTGTTACCGGGAATACTTCTGAGTCAACCATAACAATGGTTACCGGGAATATTCCCTGTTACCGGGAATACTTCTGAGTCAACCATAACAATGGTTACCGGGAATATTCCCTGTTACCGGGAATATTCCCTGTTACCGGGAATACTTCTGTTGCACTCTCTCCTACCATAACAATGGTAGGTGTAGGCACAGAATAGAACGATGAAGTAACATATTATTACAATATACCACCCACCCACAGCTCATCTCTCTTTCACTCCCCACCTTGGAATCTGCGAGTGCCATGCTGTCAAGTGAGTCATTCGCGGACAGGGAAATGCGGTCGGAGTAGAGGGGGAAGGGCAACCCCCAGGGGAAGACTAGTCGACTCAAGAGACACTCCAGCCCTCACTCACGGCACTCCTTTTCTCCCCACCTTGGAATCTGCGAGTGCCATGCTGTCAAGTGAGTCATTCGCAGACAGGGAAATGCGGTCGGAGTAGAGGGGGAAGGGCAACCCCCAGGGGAAGACTAGTCGACTCAAGAGACACTCCAGCCCTCACTCACGGCACTCCTTTTCTCCCCACCTTGGAATCTGCGTGTGCCATGCTGTCAAGTGAGTCATTCGCGGACAGGGAAATGCGGTCGGAGTAGAGGGGGAAGGGCAACCCCCAGGGGAAGACTAGTCGACTCAAGAGACACTCCAGCCCTCACTCACGGCACTCCTTCTCTCCCCACCTTGGAATCTGCGAGTGCCATGCTGTCAAGTGAGTCATTAGCAGAGAGGGAGATGCGGTCGGAGTAGAGGGGGAAGGGCGGCAGCTCCCCCTCACTGCCGCCCTTGCGCCCCTTGCCGTCCAGGCTGTGATGGTTGCGCACCACCGCGCCCAGCTCCCCCGTGCTCACCCCCGTGCGGCCCGTGTACTGGTGGGGTTGAGGCGAGAGAGGGGGGGGGATGGTGGGGGGGGAACAGATGAGCTCCCTATGCGCCCCTTGCCATCCAGGCTGTGATGGTTGCACACCACTGGTTGGGGGGTGGGGATGGTGTGGGGGAAACAGATGAGTTCCCCTTGCGCTGCGCCCCTTGCAGTCCAGGCTGTGATGGTTCCGCACCACTGCGCCCAGCTCGCCCGTGCTCACTCCCGTGCGGCCCGTGTACTGGTGGGGAGAGGAAGGGGTGGACGGTGGGTGAGGAGAAGAGAGAAGGGGGATGGTGGGGGGTAGATGAACGGAGATTGAGAAGTAGAGAGTTGAAAGAAAACAAAAGCAAACAAAGAACGCAAAGCACTGTCCAGCTGAGAGGAAGAGCGACTCGTGCAGCAGCGAAAGAAGGGGGGGGCGGCAGACGGTGTGGCGGGGCGGGGCGGCGCGGCAGCATTCACCTGGAAGAGGAAGAGCGACTCCTGCAGCAGTGAGAAGAAGAGCTGTGTGCGCGCAGCGCTGTGCTTCCACGCCTTGAGCAGCGTCTCGCTGTCCACATGCCTCAGCACCGCCAGTACCGCCACCACCACCTGCCGCTTCTGCAGCACCCCCAGGCGCGTGAACACGCGTGGGTCGTCTAATAACTGGTGGAAAAAATGGGGCGGAGGGAGGACGGACATGAGAATGGTGGCAGGGGCAGGGAAATGGGGATAAGATAGCAATGCAGAATGACCAAGGGAATCAGCCTGAATGGGTTACCATGGGCATTCGGAACCTGACTGAACCTGACTGGCCACGGACATTGACCAGACTGCTCACGAATAGAGAAACCACCAGACAAGATATGGCCCGCCTGGTTGGTTGGCTATGTGGAAGTAGACTGCAACCTGCCGGGTTCGAATGTGCCCAGACTGTGCCGAGAAGGCTAGTTACAAGCAGCGCTCCTGGGTGACTAAATAGAGCGCACCTGGGTGACTAATGCGCACTTGGGTGAGTAGAGCTGTGTGACTAGTGCACACCTGGGTGACGATGGGGAAGTAGAGCTGCGAGATGTAGAGCTTGAGGTCCGCCTGCTGGTAGCGCACATCGTACTCGTGCTTGGCCAGCAGGAAGGTCAGCATACGCGATGCCTGCAATGCAATGGCAGCAAGACAAGCGGGTGAGGTCGGAGGAGGGAGGGGAACGCACGAGAATCAACGAGTGAGTGCGCACGTGGTGGAAAGCATTTTATAACGCCACATGCATTGCATGGCACACAAACAGCACGGCATGGCATGGCACACAAACAGCACGGCATGGCATGGCACACAAACAGCACGGCAAGGCATGGCATGGCACGGGCAGCAAGGCATGGCATGGCATGCCATGCCATGCCTGGCCCATGGCACGCACCGTGGCTCGCTGGTTGGGGTCGTCGTGGTTCAGGCCTGTAAATAGGTCCTTCACCAGCACTGTCGACAGATAGTTCCTGACTCAGGCGCAGAGAAAGGAGGAGGAGAAGGAAAGCAGGGAGAGGATGATATAAGAAAGCCTGTGAACAAGTCCTTCTCCAGCACAGTTGACAGACACTTCTGCCCCATGAGCAAGGAGACAGTTCTGCACAGTTGAGCAGGGAGACAGTTCTGCACAGTTGAGCAGGGAGACAGTTCTGCACAGTTGAGCAGGGAGACAGTTCTGCACAGTTGAGCAGGGAGACAGTTCTGCACAGTTGAGCAGGGAGACAGTTCTGCACAGTTGAGCAGGGAGGCGAAGGGAGACTCATTCCAGGCCTTACTTTTCTGTGGGCCCGCGGCCGGGCGTCTCAACAAAGAGGTCGTGGTCGCAGAGGATGCGTAGGAAGTGCAGCTTGAGGGAGTGCTGGTTCGTTGGACACATGCCCGCTAGCTGCGACAGGAACAACCCCACCTGGATGGGGTGGGAGAGGACGCACGCAGGGTGGGAAAAGGGGTCGTTTTGGTAGAGGGAGTAAAGTTAGTCAGAAATGTTCAAACAGTGCGGTGAACACGAGTTCAGTTGAACCGGAAACACATGCAAAGAGCTTACCAGCTCGAACACTTGAGGCGGGTCGACGACAGTGATGAGGTCGTAGCAGAAGAAGGCGAGGGAGTTGGTGAGGCGGCGCGCGAGGGGGTAGTCGGAGTCGGCTTTGTCCTGCACCTCGACCAGCAGGCACTCAAACAGCTGCCGGATGCACAGAAACACCTCGTCCTCCAGCCTCAGCCGCGCTATCTCATCGCCTGGTGAGCACAGAGGACAGGGGTGATGGAAAAGGTTGGAGAGGGGGAGAACGCGGATGGGGAGGAGAGCTGGAGAAGGGGGACATCAAGGAATCTAGGTGGAAATCCCAAGATAGAGAGCATCTCACTGTACAGCTTACAAGTAGGGGAGGAATGTCACAATCAAGCTGGATCATACCTTGCACCATCCAAGCGACACTCACTGGCTCACCTTGCGGCACCTGAGCCAGCTCGAGGTCCATGGACTTGACGACCAGCTCCAGCACAAACCATGCCATGGACAGCGCCTGTATGACTTCGATGTAACCTCTCCGTGCATGCACCTCCCGTGCAGCTCTCACCTTGCGGCACCTGAGCCAGCTCGAGGTCCATGGACTTGACGACCAGCTCCAGCACAAACCATGCCATGGACAGCGCCTGTATGACTTCGATGTAACCTCTCCGTGCATGCACCTCCCGTGCAGCTCTCACCTTGCGGCACCTGAGCCAGCTCGAGGTCCATGGACTTGACGACCAGCTCCAGCACAAACCATGCCATGGACAGCGCCTGTATGACTTCGATGTAACCTCTCCGTGCATGCACCTCCCGTGCAGCTCTCACCTTGCGGCACCTGAGCCAGCTCGAGGTCCATGGACTTGACGACCAGCTCCAGCACAAACCATGCCATGGACAGCGCCTGTATGACTTCGATGTAACCTCTCCGTGCATGCACCTCCCGTGCAGCTCTCACCTTGCGGCACCTGAGCCAGCTCGAGGTCCATGGACTTGACGACCAGCTCCAGCACAAACCATGCCATGGACAGCGCCTCGCTGTACACCGGACCTACTCGAAAGCCCCGGGACTGCATGCTCGGGAGCGGAAAAATATGTCAAGAGGGAGTGGGGCATGTGGGAGGGATGGTAGTTGAGCAGTCATGCTGGTGGGCCAGATTGGTACAACACTAACCACTTGCACTAGCCACATGGAGTGATAGAATGGTGGTTATAAGTCAACACAAGCCCTGGCACCTGGTAAGAGAGGCTCACAAGACGCACACAAGATGCCCAAATATTAACTCTAACCCACAAGCAGCACCCCAACCCCACCCAACAACACTAAGCCTAATCCCCGAGCCAGAGGCGGGAGGGCACCTTGCTGCGGGCGAGGGAGCGCCAGACGTTGCTGAGGCCAGGGTAGACGGGCGGCTGCTGGCGGCCCAGGTCGTCAAACACGAAGTCCACAAAGTGCACCAGGAAGCGGTTGCGCGGCACGTTGGGTGACAGCTCCGCCTGCACTCTGGTGTGTGCAGGGGAGAGCAAATGGGGGGTGAGAGAACGGTGCGTGTGGGGGGCAGGAGGGTGGCCACTTTGCACACTCGCTCTGACGCAGCGTAGATAAGAGTCTGGGATATCTTCAGGCATGGTAGAATACAGCAAGAACAGCGGAACAGGGCGAGCCTAGGCAGCGCCTTCACGCCGGACCACCCTCAACCCAGCAGCACCCCCATAGTGGTGCTACAGTCAACCCAAAAGTCCCCTCACCTGGACACAATGTTAACAGTGGCTCGGAACGCGGCCACCTGCAGCGTCTCAACGCCATTCCCAATCATGCAGAGCAGCATGTTGAGCAGCGGGTACAGGAACTGCAGCAGCACCACCGTATCCACGCCTTTCAGCCCATTGATCGACTCCAGCAAATCCTCCCTAGGCAGAGGGGCCTCGAGCACGTGGCGGTCGTACTGGCGGAAGAAGTCGCGGAGGCGGTCGGAGAGGGGGAGGAGCGAGGAGAAGAGGCGCGTGCGCAGGCGGAAGACAGGCTTGCCCTCCTCCCAGTAGGTCAGCTTGGCTTTTGTGCTCTCGTGCAGGTACTTGGGCAGCAGCTCCTTGGACATAGGCAGGTTCATCTCGCCCTTGAACGACCTGAGGAAGGAGGGGAGGGGGAAGAATGGGGGGAAAGAGAGAGGCACGTGTCTCCTCTTGATGCTCTCGTGCAGGTACTGGGGCAGCAGATCCTTGGACATGGGCAGATTCAACTCGCCCTTGAACGACCTGGGGGGAGCCCGGAGGCAGGAAGGTTGACTTAGAAGTCACCTCGTGCAGGTGCTTGGGAAGCAGCTCCTTGGGCATTGGCAGATTCATGTCGCCCTTAGACGACCTCAGGGAGGGGGGAGAGGGGGAGTGGAGTGGAGTTGAAGGGATGGAGAGGGGTTGGATGGGAACGGAGAGTGTTGCAGTGGTGAGAACCTACATAATGCCCCCCTGATGCATGTGAAAATGACAAGTTGTCAATGCATAGACGTCTACTGAGGAAAGCAGAAACACAGTCAGACACACATACACAGAGGACCAGTTGGATCATTGACTCACTGTGTGACAGCTGACAGAGGCATGACAGAGTAGCCAACCACAACCTGCCACATCAGCAGCACACACACCAAGTCAGCATACATCAGCACCGTTTACAAGGATGACAGGTTTGGGCCAAACTCTCTGGAACCAGCTTTGAGGTGGTCTTTTGAGGCGCCTCAAAACCAGCATTGAGGTGGTAGGCCTTGACGGCCAGATCGATGTGGAAGAAGCAGAAGAGGAGGCGGTGCGAGAGGCACAGCATGGCAGAATGTACCCTTACCGAGCTCACCCTGTACCCCCCATAAGCTCACTCTGTATCCCTCATAAGCTCACTCTGTACACCTCAAATGCTTGCTCTGTACCCCTAATAAGCTCACTCGGTACCCCTTAGTTAGCTCACAGGTTTGGGGCGGTCAGCCTTGACAGCGAGGTCGATGTGGAAGAAGGAGAAGAGGAGGTGGTGGGAGGGGCGCAGCACGGCGGGCAGCTGGATCTTGAACTCGTCATGGAAGAGTGATGGACGCATGCCCATGGCCACCTGTGACGACGCCACTCGCTGCATTGCATGCTCCCGCTCCCAGGGGAATATGGCCTGTCCGTGGTGGAAGGAAAGGGGGGGATACACAAACTCCAGGTCAGGTCTGGAGACGTCTCGACACTTAATGCCACGCGCTGAATTGCATGCAATTCAAGTTGCCCGGCAAAACTGCTGAGGGGGAGAGGACTGGTAGAGGTTCCCTGTCGTTGCTGCACATACGTACCTCGAGCTGTGGGCGGGAGGACTGGAGGTCGGTGTCGTCGTCGCGGAGCTCGAGGCGCATGAAGAGGTTGAGCTTCTTGGGGAGTGTCACGCTGTGTGGGTACACAAACGCCAGGTGTTCCAAGTGGGTGAACGGCTCCGCACGTGTCATGTCCGTGAAGTCCAGTGCGTGGAACTGATAGGGGGAGAGGGTGGGGAGGGAAAGAAGTGGGGAATATGGAGAGATGGAGAGTTGGGAAAGGATGGAGGTGAGTGGGCCGAGAGGAAAGGCTAAAACATAAAGCACTGCAGCAATTTTTGCATGAACCAGCTCACTCACTCACCCCGTTGAGCGTGTGCCAGCTCACTCACCCCGTTGAGCAAGCGAGAGATGGAGAAGGTGCGACTGAGCCCGCCCACTTCGTCTGCATCTGACCCCATTGACTCCATTGACCGCGTGTGACCCATGGCCTGGCTGTACGGGGTGCTGGTCCCTGCAGGGCCCCCCTGGGCGGAGTGGGAGAGAGCAGTGCTGCCTGGCAGCCGCTCCACCTCCACCTGCATGGACATGCGCACGGGCTTGTGCACCTTGCGCTTTGGGTCCTGGAGAAGGGAGTTAGTGATGGGGGAAGGTAGGGTAAAGGCGGGAAAAAGTAAAGAGTGAAAACGGGGGTGTGAGTGACATACTGGAACAGGTTGCAAGAGAGAAGGCGAAGCAAGGGGGCATGGTAGCAGTAGGTGAAAAGGGCAGCAAAAGCCATATGAACCCCCATAACGGCCCACGTCCCAAGCCAAGCCCCCACGTGATACGCACAAAGAGCTGGTCTTCAGTATAGCACTCCTTCACGCGCTGCAGATACGGGATATCCACCAGCAGAGGGCCCCCCAGCTCATACCGCGGCGCAGCCCCCCCTTCCCCCAGCGCCCCACTGCTAGACCCTGGCGTCCCAGGGCCCCCTGCCCCCTCCCCTGTCCCTCCCCCTGCTGCTCCCCCCAGCACCCCTGGTGTGCCGCCCCCTGTGCTGCTGCTCCCAAAGCCGGTGGTGCCTCCTGTGCCGGCTGAGTCGAAGAGGGGGATGGTGGCGAACGCAAAGGCCTCGCGGAATGGCATGCTCTGTGGGGGTTGTGTGGGGGGGAGAAGAGAGAAAGTAGGTAGGAGGGGAGTGCAGGGGGGTGAAATGGGGTGAAAGCGCGATGAGCAGGTTGAGTGATGGACGCGAAAGGCTTGGGGGTTAGCATGCATGGCGTGTGCAGAAAGAGGTTTTGAGACGTCTCAAAACACGCTTGGGGGTTGGCATGCATGGCGTGTGCAGAAGGAGGTTGCAGGGAAGGAATTCCTTAAATCGAGCAGACAGAAAGTGGATAGACGGACGGACCTGTGCCCATTCTGAGAGCCGGGATGCCTCCCTCTCTGTCAAAACGGGCTGCATGCACAGACGGAAAGAAAGACGATCCCAGTGAGCAAGGAGCGAAGCAAGCAGGTGCATGTTAATCAGCAAAGAGCAGTGATGTAGTGAGTACAACAGCACCAGCGACAGCAGCAGCAAAGAAAGAAGAAAAAGGCGGATGTGCAAAAAGAGGTGTGGCAGGGCAGGAACAGCAACAGCAGTGAGGGGACTCACTGGGTCCTGGTAACCAGCCAATTATGTCACAGTCACTGGGTGCTTGATTCCAAGAATTTTCGAAAGCAGATCAATAGGTGATTGCACTCACAGGGTCCTTGCACTCACAGGGTCCTTGCACTCACAGGGTCCTTGCACTCACAGGGTCCTTGCGGGTGTACACGGAGCCCTTGACGCCGTTGATGCTCTCCTCTGTGACTGCTCGCTCCACCTGCACCAGCAGGCACAGCGCTGCTGCCTCCCTCTCCACCGTGAATATCGCCCTCAGCTCGGGGGACGTGCTTTCCTGCCCCCCAGACACACACACACGCGCTCACGCAGGTGGGGAAAAGGGAGATTGGAAGAGGAGTTACAGGACATGTGAGCACGGTCAATACTCGCACTTTACACTGAAACCTCAATGTAGAAGGAAATAGGGAAGGGAAACGAGAGAGAGCTGCGGCATGAGACTGACAGGCCATGCGGACCTCGCATGATGATTATGCATGCTTAGCTCGTTTCCCCAACCCAACCGACTGTGCGTCTCCCACAGTTTGACCTTGAGGCACTCACCCCGTCCCAGGAGAGAGGCAGGTACTGGAAATGGAAGTCCTCTGAGACCTTCTCCCTCTTCTCCGTGTGATACAAACAGATGGTGCCATAAAATGGCTCCACAAGGCCTGCTGGTACATTGAATGATAGTATTCGCACAGAGAAGCGTGTGCCTCTGGGGGGCGGGGGGAAATAGGGGCAGCAGAGGTCGGGGGAGGGGAGGGGCGGGCGGACGTGCGTGCATGGATCAAGGCGGGATCAGGAGGGATGGATCATGGGAGAGCGGACGCACATGGATGCTGGAGGGAGGGGGCCACTCTATGTTTTGAGACGTCTCAAAACATCTCTTTTATCAATAGGGGCAGCAGAGGTCGGGGGAGGGGCGGGCGGGCGGACGTGCGTGCGTGGATCAAGGCGGGATCAGGAGGGATGGATCATGGGGGAGCGGACGCACATGGATGCTGGAGGGAGGGGGCCACTCTATGAGTTCCCAGAAGCGCGAGAAGGAAGTCAAAAAGAAGGATGCAGATAGTGGCGTGGCGTGGTGTGTGAGAGTTGAAAAGGAAGGAGGAAATAATTAGGAATTGTGAGGAAAGGAAGGAGGGTAGGCGCACATACACTGTGCTGCTGACAATGGGCTTGATGGGCATGCGCTGGCCGATCACAGCAGCTCTGTCCGTCTCCCAGTTGAACAGAGGCTCGTACGCCATGATGGGTGGGCCTCCATAGTGCTGCAAGGCGGGAGACAGGGAGAGGGATGGCAGACAGGGAGAGGGATGGCAGACAGGGAGAGGGATGGCAGACAGGGAGAGGGATGGCAGACAGGGAGAGAGATGGCAGACAGGGAGAGAGATGGCACACGCGCACACACACTCCACCCCCCCACCCCACCCCACACACACACCCCTTCACCCAGGCCCTCCCACCTCGTCATCTGGGTCCCTGTTCTCCAGGTGTGGCTCCACATCCGCGAGTAAAGCCATCTCACCAACACACGCACGCACGCATCCAACCCCGCGAATCCACTTTTCCACTCACACTTTCCCCCCACCCCCCATCCCACCTCGTCGTCCGGGCTCTGTTCTCCAGGTACGGCTCCACGTCCGTCTTCTCCAGGCACAAGCACACTTCCCTCCCCCACACACAAACACCCTGACCTCCCACTCTTCTCCCCACCTCGTCGTCTGGGTCCCTATTCTCCAGGTACGGCTCCACATCCGTGTGTGAAGCCACCTCACCACGCATACGCATGCCCGAACGTAATCAAGCCCTCGTACCCCCTTTCCCTACACACACCACACCACCCCCCTCCCACCCCACCTCGTCGTCCGGGTCCCTGTTCTCCAAATATGGCTCCACGTCCGCGTCATCGTCCTCCCCATCGCGCCCTGCACCCGGCCGCCCAGGCCCCACGGCCGAGCGGTCGGAGAGGGGCGAGGAGAAGAGTTGGGGGCGGAAGGCGAGGTGCGGTTGGGAGAGGAAGGCGCCGTACTTGTTCTCCACGTGCACCAGGTCCGCGTTCACGCACAGCTCCACCTCCCTCAGGTGCGGCAGGTCCTCCGCCTCGCTCAGCACCTGGGAGACAAAGTTAAGGGTGGTTCAGGGGCCCCAAATCGAGGGGAATGGAAAGAAGGGGGAAGGGAGAAGAGGGGAGAAGGGGGGGGGGAGGGGGTAGGGGGGAAGGGAAAGGGAGGTGAACGAGGGTCAAAATTGGGGATGGAAGGTGAGGTACGGCTGGGAGAGGAAGCGCCGTACTTGTTCTCCACGGGAAGAGGCGGAAAGGGAGGTGATCAAGGGAAAAGCGAGGAGAGGACGAAAACTAGTTAATTATTCCAAATGAGGCGGGGAGTGTGTGACCCTGTGCTCCACCTCCGTTCTCGCCTTCGCTAACCCGAGCAATGCTCCTGCTTGTACGTGGCCTTACAAACGCTCTTCATCAAAGGCTGTAAGGTGTCCGCAACTCTTTCTGAAGCATGCCTAGCGCCGTTGAGGTAGCACAGAAATTTTATTTAGGCTATTAAGATGACTGCATTTTTATTCAGCGCATGCCTACCGGTGCCTCATTGAGGTAGCGCGGCCGGAAGAAGCTGTCCCGTGACGTCAGCGCGTGCGACGCTGACAGGGCCATGCCGCGCCACCACAGGCGACCTACGATTTGCCTCACGCGTCACCGTGTGCCATCCGCAGCCTCACCGTCGGTCACACCTAGCTCCCTGACAGTTATCACCGTGAAGCGCCTCAGAAGTCCTCCTCGTCGTTCACTCCTGGCTCTCTGACAGTTTATTACTGTGAGGCGCCTGAAAAGTCCTCCCCGTCTATCACACCTGGCCCCCAGACAGCTCTCACTGTGTTTTGCTGCTTCGCATTTCGGCAGCACCGAGACCCATTAAGTGAGACTACCAGCAGCTTATCTCCGATCGAACTCAAGTAAACGCATGGTCAGTGTGAGAAGTATTACGGCTTTCTCTTAAAAGACGACGACCTAGTAATGGATGCCTTGGGTAATACGATCGCGTGATCGCGGACCGTGACAGCTGTGTTGAGTTGGCTTCGGTCCTTAAAGGCAATGAGGTCGCAGTGTTGCATGACAACGTTCAGCGTTTTCCAATGCGGACACTTGAAACTATGGCCGTAAAATGCGCAGCGAGGGAGGCAACGACGACGACGACATTGTATCAAAGTGCGGAATTGGGCTATGTAGGAAACTATAAATGGGCTACAAGGGGTATCACGCAATCAGTGAACGCTGCGATATCCTTCGAGGAAACAATTTGTGTGATCGTAGCTCAGGCGAGAGAAGGACAGCACGTGCACTCAGGAGCGCGCATGATACGGACGTCTTTGAAATGACACGAGGTCTACGGAATGCAATAGTTTCAGGGACTACGACTACTGCTTCCGATGTACATGGAAGACCTAAATTCTTTAAAATCGTGAAATTAGGTCGTCGTCGTGATCACCGACGTAATTCATGGCTGGAAACTGCAGCGTGCGTTTATGATGTCAGAAGGCCTACTGCGGAAACAAATGAAGCAGGCCGATTTCTGTCTGGCTCACCAAAAAATGCTTCTGGACGACATTACTGCCGAAGGCTGCAGTCAATAGTCTGACTGGATGGCTCGCAGCAGCAGGCTTTCGAGATTGCCGAAGGAAAACAGGCGACCAGCAGACCGACCACAGGGATGGCCGCGCGGATTATTTCAGGCTTGCGGAGTCAAGGGGAGTCACCCGCGGAAAGGACACAAGCTCGAGCAAGCGGAAAGTGGGCTGGCTGGTTCGCGCAGATTGCTACACGAATTTCTCTACAATCTACACTGCAGTATCAAAATACCGTAGTTGGGTATGAAAAATGTGACCTACTGCGTTATTTAACGTAAAACTTCATAGCCGTGCTCCCTTCACCAAGCTACCAATTCCCGCTCCAGCAATGAGTGCAATCCATCTTGTAGCTCGCAAGCAAGCAAGCAAGCATTGCATGGATCTGGCCGCCATGGATATTGTCGATCAGCTTAACTTGTTCGCATTAACAGCTCCGGTGGCTTCTGCTTATAAGAATAGCATTTCTAGATTCAGCTCATCGAGGCGCGCAGTTGGATATAACTTTCGTGCCTTCTTAACGGGCACCATTTCTGACTCGCTTTCGAGCTTTCCCAGTTATCATGCTGCTAATCTTGAGGCTCTGCAGGTTAAGCTACTAATCCCAAGGCTGTCCAGTTTCCCGTTCGTTTCATATCTTAATCGCATCTACACTCCTTATCTGCAACTTATCAAGACCTTGGGACTGCATAACTCTGGTTTCTCCACCTCGGAAACTCAGCATCAACTACTGGAAGACTGGTCATCAACAAACAGCCTTTTACTACTTAAACGGCTGTCTGGCTACATGCTCAAAGCATCCTATCAGCTTGCTGCTTTCAAGGCTTTCCTTTCTCTGTTCAACTTCACTACAATGCCGCCGAAGTCCTCCCGCAAGGCTATCACGGAGATCACGACGGACCCTGATGCTCCGCTGGTCGCTGCTCCTGCTGTACCTGAAGTCAAGGACAATGACGGAAAGACAGAAGAGGTGGTCGTCCCGTCAAACACCACATCATCTGAGGCTGGCTCTTCTGGTCTTTCAGCAGAAGGCAAGGTAGATGTGCCTGTGGTCGGGGAAGAGTACCAAGATGACTCTGACGACGAGCTTGACATCGAATTCAAGACTGATGAGCTCTGCAACTTGCGTCACACGGCTATTTTGCTGATCCCATTCATGCTCGCTCAAGAACTTGCCTCGGTGGTTTCGACAGTCAAAGTGTTGATGAAGCGGGTCTGGTGCTCTGTTCTTTCTGTTGACGCTGCTAACACTGCGAAGTTCCAGATCTTGCAACCGGCGTACATCGCGAAGATCCGCTTCTGTAGACTCCAGCTGGAGGTTGACGCGCAGGGGGTGCGTCAGTTCGACGTTGATTACCAGAGGGTGAATGGCAAGGTGGTCAGGCTTTACTGGCAGCACACTGATAATCCGGCTTTCATCAGGGAGAGGTCTACTAACCCGCTCGCGGTTGAGGTTGTCTTCCGCAATGTCTCCGCCTCGGTCACGCCTGAGGCTCTGCAGCGTATGCTCGCCCACTACAAGCTGAAGTCCAGCAAGACGCCCATCTATAAGGCCGGCTGCTGCTTCCACAGAGTTCTTCACCCCATCACTGGTGCTGATACTGACGTCATCAAGGGTCTGGTGGTGCCTCATGACGGAAAGGCGCGCTGGCGTCACGCGATCAATGACCCCGCGGACCCGGAGAAGCTGATCTTGATTCACTACCCGATGCTGTCCTGCAAGCTGTGCGGGGGTCATCATGAAGAGAAGCATCATGATGCCTTTGTTATGGACCGGCAGAATAACATCGGCAAATGGAACCTGACTCTTGGTCGGGTTCACAGAATCAACGGTAACGCTGTTTCTTTTCGCATTGTTGAGTTGGTTCATGCCTCGGCTGTACTTACCGCTAACGTGCCCTTGATTATCTGCAGCTGCATCAATAAGGCTGAACCAGTTGACCCTCCCTGTTCTGCAAGATCCTGCAATCGCTCTCATCTCTACTGGAGGTCAGAGAGAGGAATGGCTATGCACTCAGTCAGGCTGCAAGAAGGCTCACGGCCGGTCCTTCATGGAAGCCCTCGATCATGTCCGCTCTGCACACCATCTCTCGCATCTCGAGAAGCTCGGTACTGCCACCAGACTCACGTTAGAGAAGACGAGCCTCAGCGTCATCCTGAAGGACTACGGGATTCAGTCACCAGGCTCGGCCGCATCTCAGCAGCAGCGTCGTTAGCTTTCTTCGCAGTTGGAGTCATAGCCTCACTTACCATGTGGATGCGTAGGGGTCACTTGTCTGTTGTCAATGGTTAATAAAGACACCCTCACCTTCGCGACACTGAATGTCAACGGTCTAGGTGACAGAACTAAGCAAGCTAGGACACTGGACTGGGCTAGAACGGCAGCTGATTTTACTATTCTGACTGACACTAGGCTAGCCTCCAATCACACTTACTGGAGTTCACTTACCTCTTTCTCCGTTGTCGCCACGTCCGCTCCGACGAAAGCCAGCGGCGTAGCGCTTCTTTGTAGAAACCCTCACTTTAGCCTTAGAGACGTCGTCGCACACCCGTCTGGTAGAATACTGCAAGCCTGCGCAGTCGGTTTAGGCACAGAGATTATAGTCTTAGGAGTTTATTTCCCAGCTGATTCGGCCGCCAGGAATAGCTTTGTCGCTCACACACTCGGCCCGGTCTTAGACCATATCCCCGCTTCTTCTCACCTTATCATTGCCGGCGATCTGAATCTGATAGAAAACCCGGTCCTTGACAAGTCCTCCAAGCTTGGCTCCTCTTATGAGAATGACAGGCTTTTCCGCCGCTGTAGCGCTTTTCAGATCTCAGACGCGTTTAGGACCCTGCATCCCAGGAAAAAGGAGTTTACTTTCTACTCAAGAGCGAAGGAAGCGAGCTCTAGAATAGATCGTATCCTTATCTCGCACTCGCTCTTACCTCACTTAGATTCCGCAGTCCATATCATGCCCGAGGAGACTATCTCGGATCACGACTTTGCGGCCAAGGTTGGGTTACGCCTGTTCCTGAAGGCCAAATCCGGGCCGGGCCTCTGGAAGTTGCCGCCTGACATGATCAACAAGCCGGGGGTCAAGAAGATCATTGATGCCACCGTGAAGCGGACGAGGGTAACCGACGGTAGCAGCTTTGAACTCCTTACCTCGAGGCTGAATGCAGGTCTTCGGTCTTATGCTCGGGAAGAAGGCAAGCGAATCCGTGCTACCACTTCACACCTTGCTGCTGCCGTCGCCAAGTTGAAGCAGGAAGCCATGGCGGACCCGCACGGTTTTGCTCATGGGGAGCTCCTGGAGTCCAAGGTAAAGCAGCTGAAGGAATATCACGCGTCGCGGAGGGAACGGATGCACATCTGTGCAGGGACAAAGGAGGAGATGGTTGGTGAAATTGCTTCGAAACACCTATCGGGGAAAATTCAAGGGCGGAAAGCAAAGACGCAGATTGCAGAGCTGAAGATAAACGGGTCGACAATCTCAGACACCAAGGGTATCCTGCATGCCGCTGCTGACTTCTTTTCTGGTATTTTCGGGGAAGACCGTCGGCGGTGTACAAGGAAGTGGAGCCCAGCTCCGGGTAGGACTCTCTCACGAGAAGCGGCCAAGGAGTTGGAAGCGGACTGGACGGAGGAGGAAGTAAAAATGGCGTTTCAGGCGATGGCGGCACGGAAGTCTCCAGGCAGCGATGGACTCCCCAAGGAGCTTTTTGAGGCCAACTGGGACACTTTGGGAGGTAGCCTCATGGCGCTGGCTGAAGACTTCGCCTCCATTGCCTCCCTTCCTGCAGAAACAAAAGAGGCGGTCACGATTCTGCTACACAAAAAAGGAGACCGAGACTCCCTTAACAACTATCGCCCGATCACCCTGCTTAAGTCTTCTTACAAGGTTCTAGCGAGGGTGGTGGCGAACCGTATTAAACGAGTGCTTCACCAAGTCATCTCTCCAGAACAGTATGGGTTCATACCTGGTCGACGACTGTCGGATGCAGTGGCGCTGGTTGCTGATGTCATCGATGCAGCGAAGCATGGTAGTGAAGACTGGTATCTGCTGCTTGTGGATTTCCAAAAGGCGTTCGATTCAGTCTCGCGTATCTTCATCTTCATGGTGCTGCGTAATATGGGCTTCCCGGAACGATTTGTGGCCTGGGTGGAAGGCCTGCACGCTGGCACCACAACGAAGCTGTTAATCAACGGGTGGCTGAGTGAGGGAATACAGGTGCGCTCGGGAGTCAGGCAAGGGTGCCCTCTTGCCCCTTACCTCTTCCTGTGCGCGGTGGAACCGTTGGCGCAGCTGGTGGAAAAAAGGAAACTGGGGCTAAGTCTGGCGGGGCAGAGGCTGGCATACCTTGGGTATGCAGACGACACAACTCTGATCCTGCAGGGGAAGAATCAGATCAAGAAAGCGGTAAGGGCGCTTGCCAAATTCGAGGAGGAGTCTGGGCTGGCGACAAACAAGGGGAAATCGGTTGTGATGCCGCTGGGGGTGAACCTCACCTCGCACCCGATTGCATCCGACGGTTTCAAGTGGGCGGCAGCTGATGAAGCGGAACGCCTTCTGGGTGTCTGGATCACGCCAAACGGCAGCTGCAGACCGACATGGGAAAAAGTGTTAGAAGCTGCAGAAGTGGCATGAAAAATATCTGACGGAAACTGCGAGAGGATTGGTGGTAAACGGCTACATCTCGCCGAAAATATCATTCCAGGCCCAGGTCTTCCCTCCGCCGGATGACATCTGGTTGGAGATTGATCGAGCGCTGCACAACTTCGTCTCGGCGAACCGTCCGTCCTCAGCGAAGGGCTTTATCCTCTGGCGTCGGGAGCTGGTGTACCTGCCAAGGAACCTGGGGGGGCTGGGAGTGCGTGACCCCGGAATCCTGTTAGCCTGTCTCGCGGCAAGACGTGCGGCGATGTTGGTCACAGAATCCAACTTGCTGAAAAAGGACATCATCGTGAAAGCAGCGGAATTACCGATGGGAGTGGACTCCTTCACGGCTCACAAGAACCTCATCCGCCACTGGACAGGCAGGGGGATTCGGTGGAAGATGATTTGTGAAGCCATCCTGAAGTCGCCCTTGGGCGAGCGGCCTCTTGCACTGGAAACAGCAGACGTGGAGAGAGAGCCGATCCTGTTCAACCGGCGCATTTTGCCCAATGGAAAGACACCACTGGGAGGGCAAAAAGCAGCTGCGCGGCTCAAGGATTGGAACCTGGGGATGCTGAGATGCACTGGGGCGGATGGGGCCCCTACTTTCGAATCGCTGGAGCAGCTGAAATTGGAGCTGGGGGAGCCTGAGCCTGCGAGATTGGCGCTCAAGGCGCTAGAGGCAATACCAGAAGAGTGGAAGAAGGCGCTAGTAGCAGCTGGAGGAGCTAGCTCGGCTGTCTCTCAGCAGCAACCGCTACCGTACGTCTCGAGCGAGGGGATTTTTTCGATGAGACAGATGAGGAAATTTTGGGGCCCTGGCCAAGCATCCAACAAGCAGGCGAAGTGGGAGAGCAGGTGGGGAAGAAACATCGACTGGAGGAAAATCATCGCCATCAGGGACTCGCGGGTGATTCCCAACCGTCCACGTAGCGTACTGCTAAGAATCCACGGCCTTAACCTTCAGGTGGGAGAGAGGGTGGCCTTCCTCCGTTGCAAGACTGTCTGCCCGTACTGTAGCGGAGAGGAAACCCTAGAGCACTGCCTCTTCATGTGCCCGGCAATCCAATCGGTCATCACCTCAATCCTGCGGGCCCTGCGCATGATGAACCCAGCCCGCCGCATCACCTCGCTGGGTGACATGCTCTTCAAGCGTGCGGGGTCTGACTCAGCCTTCCCGGAGGCGACCCTGGCTGCCATTGGACTACATCAGATCTGGGTGGAGAGATGTGAAGCGGTATTTCGTGGAGGGAAATTTAGAGCGCGCCGAGTTCTGCGACGAATTGAGCGGGCTTTCTATCTGCATGCAAGAATCTACCTGAGAGAACAGCGGACAAAATTACGGAAAGGGGCGGGAGGCATCCGGAGAAGCAAGTGGGCGAGGCTTTTGGCGGACGAACAGCGACTGTTTGGCAATATCACGGTGGTGGATGGGATGAAGTGGAGTTGGACAAGTGGCTTCGCAGCCATCTGGTCCAAGCAGCGTAGGGCACGTGGCCCTGTTTAAGTACCCTCTGGGGTTCGGTTTCACACCGCTCCCCTCATGCACAGTTACGACTGTAGTTGATTTTATACACTTGCTCATTCCGGTGTATTCTTTCAATTAATTAAAAAAAAAAAACCGTAAAACTTCATCGAGTCCCACGTTTCTTACTAGTGGCATAATTCCAGGCCATCCCCGCCTTCAAGATTTTAGATACTTGCATAAAAGCTACGCTCTTATTACACTAGGGTTGAAATCCACATATTGTGCTCATTGATGCTCGTTCACTAAGTAGTACGCAAGCCCAGACAGAGACCCACCTACTCTTGGCATGCGTCAACAATACGCGACCGCAGTATTTGGCGAGGATAGTCTCTCCGACACCAGCGGTACATGCTAGGTTTGCATTGTGGGAAGTTTGGTTGGATAGACCTTTCACCAGCTCCTTGTGTCAGTGATTCGGACTTGCAGTGAGGGCGTTTGCGAAACAGCCGAGGACCAGATTTTCATCCCCATGCGCCTAAAGGGTTTTTGCATCCATTGCATCGAGCGTATTGCTTGGTGAGTTTTGTCTGCTCTCCTCCCCCTTCTGTCCGTCTTGTATCTCTGCTACCCCCGATTCCCTATTCAAAGGAATGAGTCGCATCTTGGAGTCGGTGCATGCTTGTCACACTGATCCTCTACACCTTGCCCGTTTTGTCGTGATATACATGTCAGTATATCTTACGTGACTGCCTGTAGTTTAGCTTTAGTGTAGTGATGCAACTTTTTGTTGGTGGTGCACCTTTGTTTCCTTCCCTATTGCTCCTATATCTTGTACCTATTTTCTTAAAGTCAATCCTCTTTGGCATGCTTATTTCTCTCGATACTCAAGCTAGCACCGAAACCCTAGCCATGGTTTCTAAGCATATCCTGACACGTTTGATATATCTTCAGGGCGTTGGTGCATGCGCGCGACTGACAGCGGTGCCGTACGCAGACTCCCTGCGTATACCAAAGGTGCAATGGCAAGTGGCTTCAACCCTCCATTTCGATCTCCGTATCCCCCAGCAAGTACTCACAGGTCGGTGCTCTTGCGGATAGGCGATCGACAAAACGACGTTACCTCACCACGTGATGCGGTGTCTTTGCTTCGGCGTTGCCACCGTCATCCACAAAACTGCCAAATACATGCTTTGGGATTTTGTTGTCGAAACAAGCTTCGCGGTGAAGGTGGGGGACACCACACTAATCACGCATCTAAAGGTAGCTCAAGCACGACTCAGGGAATTCTGGAGGTGGGGATACGAACACAGGCTCTGGGACTGTCGGGGCTAATGGGTGGCGAGGGACAGTCGATAGAGGGGTGCTAACAGCATCAGTGAGGTTGGGTCGGGCGAGGGGCTGGCGGGCACAGGGGACCGCAGGAGGGACACGCCAATAGGGGAGATGAGATTGGGCAGCAATGCCAGTAGCAGGAGAGTGAGCAGGGGCAGGAGGGGCGCCAGGCCCAGAGGGTACCGCCTTTGGGTCTGGGCTTGGTTGTGGGGACACGACGAGCGTAGGTGACATGGGACATGATTACGAGAGGACCAGAGGGGTAGGGAGGGGAGGGTTCAGAGGTGAGGGCGGTAGTGGAGGCTAGGGTGAAAGTGGTGGGGGATTTCGGGGAGTGGAAGGAGGAGAGGGGAGGAGGCAGGTGGGTGGGGGACAGAATAGAGGGGCAAAGTGTTGAGATAGCTAGGCAAGGTGAGGTTCACTATCGAGAGAAATTTTGGTACAAATAACACAACCCTAAGGAGTTATCCCCTATAACATCTACCCCACTACAGCCTACCAATATATATCACACATATATATCATTTGACACACCCCCATAGGCAAAGTGGGGGAGAGCAACGGGTCACAAGACCAGTCAAGAGAAACAAAACAAGCTCAGGGTGGATCACAACGTCACCACACATTCTGAGCACAAGCAAATGGCCACAAGGCCAGTTCACATGCAGAGATATATATGCAGCAATGACAGTACAGTGTCGAGCTACCTAGCAAGAGCCAGCATGCAGGTATATATGTATATAGATCACAGTACAAGCAAAGACTACAGCAAGTGTGGAAGCGTAGGCACAAGGCCTAACAGAGTACAAAAGCGCTGATGATCACCAGACGGAAGTGCCTTGGTGAATATATCAGCAGTGTTGGCCCGAGTGGCCACGTAACGAAGACAAAGCTGGCCTCGCTGCTGCAACTCTCGAGCCAGGAAGTAACGCAGAGCAATGTGCTTCGTTCTGTGCTCCAGTCTGTGCTCCTCACACAAGGCAATGGCGGCCTTGTTGTCAACGTACAGCACTGGAGGAGAACGAGGCTGCTCTCCCAAGTCAGTCAGCAGGTAGGTGAGCCAGCGTAACTCCTGTGCAGCCATGGCGGTGGCGTAGATCTCAGCCTCACAACTGGAGCCGAGAACTGAAGACGAGCGTGTAGAACGCCACGAAACTGAACCAGAGCCAAGGCTGAAGGTGTAACCCTGTGACGACCGCTGAGTAGCCAGGTCGTCAACCCAAGAAGCGTCTGAGTGCCCAGTGAGGACAACTGGGCTCGTCCCTCCAAGCACTAGCCCCATGCCTGATGTGCTGCACAAGTAGCGCAGTACCCTCTTAGCAGCAGCCATGTGCTCAGGTCGGTGTCGACCAGGAGCCACGTAGCGAGCGAGGAGACCAAGAGGGTACGCGAGGTCAGGTCGAGTGCAAGTCATCAGGTACATGAGGCAGCCGACTAGCTCTGGGTAAGGACCACTCGGCTCTACGGACTCGTCCGAAGGTGGAGCTGAGAGCGTGTGACCTGTAGCCAGAGGAGTGGCCTGTGCTGAAGACCAGGTGAAGCCGAAGCGCTGAAGGACCTGCTGCACCATGTGTGACTGAGTCAAGGTGATGGTGCGGCGTGCTCTGTCCCGGGTGATCTGCAAGCCAAGGTAGCTGCGCAGCTCACCCAAGTCAGTGCACGTGTGTCTCTTCTGTAGCTCCGACTTCACGTGGGCGAGAGCCTCAGTGTCAGCAGTGGCAAAAACCAAGTCGTCGACGTACACGAGGATGTAGAACGGCGGCAGTGAAGTGTCTGTGCGCAGAAACAGCGACGGGTCAGCAGTAGAAGGCGCAAACCCAAGAGCCGCAAGTGTCGTCTTCAGTGTGTCGTGCCACTCACGTGGCGCCTGGCGGAGACCGTAGACCGGCTGGTGGTCGGAGGCTCCACTGGGTGCCAGGAGGGAACGACCCAGTGAAGCCCGGGGGGCGGCGCAGCCAGATCTCCTCGTGCAGGCTGCCCTGTAAGAAAGCAGTGCTGAAGTCAAGAGAGTGAAGCTCGTAGTCACGGTGAGCAGCAACGTGCAGCAGCACCCGAAGAGTGGTCATCTTCGGGGTGGGGGAGAAGGTCTGGAAGAAGTCAACTCCCTCTCGCTGACTGAAGCCTCGAGCCACGTAACGCGCCTTGAAGACAGGCGGAGAACCCGGCGGCCGCTTCACCCTGAAAATCCACA